TCTTGGAAATACAAAATTTTTTTTTCAATCAAATTTTTTTTACTATTATTTTTAAATAAAAATTTTGTATTATTTTTATCTTTTTATTTTTATATTTTTTAATAAAATATCTTTATTTTTTTTAATAAAACATCTTATTTTTTTGTTTTATTTTTTTTTTAATACTTTTTTTATTTTTTTTTTAAACATACATGTTTTTTTTTTTTTTTTTTTTTAAAATTGTTTATTATTTTTAAATAATAAATGTATTCACATATCGTTGTTTTATTTTTGTGGCTTATTTGTTTAAAATTTACTAAGTAAGAAAAGTTCAACGATGTCATCTGAGGTGTTAGGGCGCATATAAGTAAAAAAAAAAGAATGAAATAAAATGTTTTGTTTTTAATGAAAAATTATAAGCACGCACATTGTTATTGTTCTATATTTTAAGAACATTTTATTATATTATTTTTTTTAACATTATAAAATAGTTTTTTTTTTTGTTTTGTAGCTATTAAATATTAATTTGCAACGACGCACATACATAAATGTCATTAAAGAGTGTACACACGTGCATACATAAATTTTTTTCAACATTTTTTCCATAAACGTTTGTCGCACTCAAATAAATTTCAAATTATGTTTAAGGTCAATTTAATGATATGCTTTTAAGCAATTACATTAAGGGTGCCCTATCAGCATTAGCAAAGCGGAAGTAAAGTGCAAATATATTTTACTATTCAAAATAATATCCAATGAAATGTAACGAAATTTTGTATTTAGTAAATTTTTGTTTACTTGGAAAATTTCCATAACATGCAATGGAGTTTTTTTTTGTTTTTAATTATTTAAGATGCTAAATGATATTATCTAGGTATGTATGTATGTATGTATGTATGTACGTTTGTATATTGGCGTAAATGAACTTGTACAATCATATATATCCATCATATTTAATAGTATTCACATTTAATTGGGTTGCGGCAGTTTTTTTTATTATTACAAGACTCGCCATTAGCAATCATACATATTTACATACAGTATATACATACGTGTATCTACATGTGCATAAGAAAACAAATTATTTTCTAGTATTTTATTGAGAAAATCGAATGGAAAAAAAATCAGCACCACATCCATGCAAATACGCAATCAACAGGAACGGAAAGAAGAAAAAAACACACAATCGAAATAAGTTCGAAGGAGTTAATAACAAAAACAAAACAACACACAAAAAAAAAAAAACAATCTGAAATAATTACCCGTAATTATCAGGCGTACACACGTTCATAGCCAACAACGACACTCGCAATGAGTCTACCTGTCCGGCAATTAATTCAGTATTCTGAATTACTCTAGCTGCATTTTTTTTACATACACACACACACACACAGTCACACATATGCCTGCCTACTGTTGTCATTTGCTATTTCTTTAAATGCTATGAATTTGATCTTTGACATGCATACTTTACATACGAATGTATGCATATGGAATTTTGCTATAAAACACACATACATACATACACACATACGTACATACATACAGAGACCAACTAGACTGAAGGCGCTTCTGGCAGAGCTTAGCGTTTTATACGCTTAATTTAATTGCATGAGCGCCTTGTCACTGTGTTATTATTTAGTACGTCTATAAATTTGACGTGAGTAGACTCACTTCGATATGCGTACAGACGTGTTTACATACTCGTATATGCTTATACATACATATAGATGTAGTTACTCAAACAAGTGAAACTTTCTTTAGAATCTGAAGGGATTAATAGTCTCAAAACGCTTAAAAAGGTTACAAACTCATCGGTAAGCGCTGAAACAAAATAATGCCAGTGTCAGAGCTCCTGGTCCCCTATAGGTTAGGTTAGGTTGAAGTTGCTATCAATCACTATATATCCACTTTGATTCCTCTATAAATTTCATTAGATAATTTATCTGCATGTCTGCTATCTTATACAAATTATCGTTGTAAACAACACCTAGATATCGAGATCTAGCTCTACACAAGGCGAGACGAGAGCTTAGAAGATGAAGTACCGTTTTTTGCTCCTCAACATTCTTATAGCTTTTACAGCATATCCAGGGAGAACTTTTAGCCTCGCCGCATGTCGTCCTATTAAACAGTGAACTGTTAAGACACCCCCTATACACAATACAACCCCTGAGATGTTCTCCCTTGTGATCTTTTCAGGTTCCATTTTTGCTAAGCTTGTCCTCAGCAGTTAGAAGTGCGGTTCCACTTTGATTCAAAAGAGATACGAATGCGTTTATTGCTTTGGGAAGAATCTACTTGTTTGTGGCTTGTCTGTCAAGTTCGTCTGCCGAACAATAACTCCTTTATATCACTGTGATCAGGTACCCAAAAGGAATGTATATTCTGTTCTGTTTGACCACCACCTACAGAATTTGGTGACAGTCTAGCATAATATTTGAAATCGTGGCAAGCGAGCCGCGCAACTTAATGCAACACTAGATATCCTTGCACATGAGTTCAGTTTCAATATAGCCAATAGTCATAACTGTTCGGAGTGTTCTCATCTATCTAGAAGACGTATTCCAGTTCTGAATCATGAAACTTTCGCTGCATGGTACGAATCGGGCATGACGACTTTTAGTTGAAAGCGTTAGTGTTGTCGATGCCAAGGCCTTGGTTGATATGCCTCTAACAGAGGGAATATAAGAAAGTGCGAGTTGACTGAACGCGAAGTTACTAAGTGGCGAAGCCATCTGAGGTTTAGTTGATTTTTAGATTGGTAGTGTGTATGAACACGATCTAAGGGATTCTACCGCACGCAACCAATCCGCGCCTGTTTGTTAGTTGAAGTGGTAGTAATTTAAACTACTCGATTTGACCGAAGACCATAATCTGGTACCACCAGAAATAGAAGCTTGCTCGGACCTGTTCAAGTAGCAAGGTTCCTCGTTGTTGTGACTTAAACCCAAGTGAAGGCAGAGGGCAGCACTACAGACGCACATCAATGCACAGATTAAGCTGAAGAAAGTAGGTACTTACGTCGGGCAACTGACGATCCTACCAACTTCATTAGTTGATTTCTTGTTTGTGAAACTTAGATTGCATGTAACTATATCAAAAGTACTTGCTGCTCTCTCCTCCTCCTCTTCAAGTTCACTTTGAAGTGACCTATAAAAATTTTATTTGAATTGATTCAAGTGCTAAAATTACCGTTAAGAGCTTGATTTGAGTTGCTTTAAATGTTTTAAAAAAAAAAGTTTTGATTTAGAAGTTATTTATATACGCATATTAAGTATATTACATTTTTTAAAATAAAAATTTTTTTAAATTCACAATTGAAAATATTATTTAAAAATCATCACATGCCATGCCTACTTTTTATGTTGTCACACACCCTAAAATTATTTTTAGCGAATTTGTATTTATATTATTTATAAACAGAAATAGCACAAAGTTTCAGAGAGCCAAATACTTAAAAACATTCAAGCAATAAATAGGGTGATAATAAGTTTGGGATAAATGAACTATAGCAAGGTAGATAAGTAGAAGTTTTGAGCTAATTTTGAAGCCGCCACATATAAAGTTATACAGAGCCTTATCAAATCCCCGTGCGAGCAACATCTAAAAGTTATAGAAAATAAATTTAAATAAAAAATTAAGCTAAATTTTCTAATTGCCGTCGCCCATCGGCAGAAAATGTCAACCTATCCGAACGTATTTCTGGCATGAAATAAAGACTGCTCATAAAAAAACCATCAGCAGTTCGGAGTCTTCTTAGTATGAACTGTAGGTCCCTCCATTTCTTGGAAAAACATCAAGACGCCAAACCACAAATTGGAGGAGGAGCTCGGCGGAAATCGCTTCAGCGGTTAGAAAGCGCCAATTATATATTATATATATATATGTACAATATATATTAAAGCTAACGAGTGCATCGTACACTCTCTAACGAAGTCACCTCAAACTCTGCTGGTGGTTTTCTGCCGCTTTTATTTCGAAAAACTCTTCATATTATATTATTAACAATATCTGCATGCGAAGAGGGCCTGCCAAGAAATATTTTTTGTTTTTGCTTTATACGAGTACACTTTACTCTTGGATATTAATAAAATTTGTTTTTGACGTAGAAGAAATGTATCAACAAATGACGTGGACGTGGACAAAACAATTTGGTTAGACCTTTCATAAGTTTGTCTAAATAACCGCAAAATATTATATTATGAAAAATAATATATTTTTTGCGCTTTCTTCTCTTTTTGCTTGTATTTTTGCTTATAATCAAATACTCAACTCTTGTAGATAGCCATAAAGATTTGAGCCAAAAGCCAAGAGATATGAATAAATAAATATTTGAAAGTACGAAAATAGCGTTGGCGATAAGCAGCATGCGCTTCATACGACTATAATATGTATTTGTATGTACGCATTGTGTAAATAAAACAGTTTGTAAAAATTTGTCGATTGACTAGGCGCTAATGCTGGTAGATAGTGGGGGGTATGTTGACTTCTGAAATTTTATAATAATTTTCCATTTCTAATTGCTTAACAAATTAATTTATTCTATATTTTTATGAAGATAGATCTCAAAAATATGACTAAGTCTCTTCGCTTGATATGAGAGATGTGCTTATAATGATGACTTGACGGTTTTTATAATGTATGGAATTTAAACAAAGAAGCGTGTAGTATGAGTACATATAATATTATTTTGTAACTGACAAACACAGATTCACTGTGAATCGCCATCGATTATAAACATTTATACTTATACTATATATACATACGTAAATAATTTCGTTGTCGTTGTTGTGAATTGCATGTTTGCATATACATATATTTATAAAATTTCTTTTATAATATTTGCTTTTAAATACTTAAATTTAATTATATTTATATTGAATGAAAGCTATAAGTTATTTAATATTTTTAATAAATTTTCTTTTTTATGCCACTTCTGAATTTTATTTTTAATTCAAAGCTAATTTAAGTCTAGTTTATATCTAAATAAAACCGTTTTTATTATCTTATACTTACAGATGCCGAGGGACACATGATGCATGGCATCGAGCCGTCTCTTTCCGCGCTTAGTAGCGCTTCAGCCCACAGTCCGGGCGGTAGTCAAGCGCTTAGTCCCGCGCTCAGTGGTAATAGCAATAGCAATGGAAATTTATCTACTAATGGCAATAATACTGCCTCCATTAACAATAACAATAATTCATTTGCGCAAAATAATAACTCGCAATCATCAACGGTTTGTGCAATATGTGGTGATCGTGCCACTGGCAAACATTATGGTGCTTCCAGCTGTGACGGCTGTAAGGGATTTTTCCGACGCAGCGTACGCAAGAATCATCAATACACCTGCAGGTACTGTAAAGAAAGGTTTTATATAAAATTATTCACATTTGATCAAAACTTTAATCCAACAACAATAGATTCTCACGCAACTGCGTTGTTGATAAAGACAAACGTAATCAGTGTCGGTATTGTCGCTTACGTAAATGCTTTAAGGCCGGCATGAAGAAAGAAGCTGTACAAAATGAACGAGACCGTATTAGCTGTCGACGCACATCAAACGAGGACCCCGATCCTGGTAATGGTTTATCGGTCATATCACTAGTGAAGGCGGAAATCGAGAGTCGTCAGTCAAAGGCGGGTGCCGCAATGGAGACCAATCCGAATGAAGATCTATCCAATAAGCAATTTGCCAGTATCAACGATGTATGCGAGTCAATGAAACAACAGTTGTTGACGCTTGTCGAATGGGCCAAACACATACCAGCCTTCAACGATCTACAGTTGGACGATCAGGTGGCGTTATTGCGTGCACATGCCGGCGAGCATCTATTACTTGGCTTATCGCGTCGCTCTATGCATCTAAAAGACGTTTTGCTCTTGGGCAACAACTGCGTTATTACAAAGCATTGTCCAGGTAAGTTGAGTTCACTTGAGTTCAAGAACAGAAGCAGTAAGTGGTAATATTTTATTTACAGATGCGCGTCTCTCGCCAAACTTAGACATTTCACGTATCGGTGCTAGAATTATAGATGAACTCGTCTTCGCACTCAGGGATGTGAATATTGACGATACTGAGTTGGCTTGCATCAAAGCTTTGGTCTTTTTCGATCCTAGTGAGTTAATTTAAGCAAATTGAGAATCAGCATTTCAAATAAATTATGATTCCCTTTTTTATTTGTTTCTTTCCAGACGCCAAAGGTCTCAATGAACCACAACGCATCAAGACTTTGCGTCATCAGATCCTTAACAATCTAGAAGATTATGTTTCGGACCGGCAGTATGAGTCACGAGGTCGCTTTGGTGAAATTCTCCTTATATTGCCAGTATTGCAATCCATTACCTGGCAGATGATCGAACAAATACAGTTTGCCAAAATTTTTGGTGTCGCTCACATCGACTCCCTGCTGCAGGAAATGCTACTTGGAGGTATGTCTAGTTCACTATTCCACGCCCCGCACTATTTCCACACTTTGCGTAATTATCTAATCTACTCCACCTTTGAAGGTGAACTGGCCGACAACTCGCCACTTTCGCCGCCAAGTTTAAATAATTACAGCCCCACAAGGACCATGGACTCGAGCCATGTGACATCAACATTGGATGTCCTTACGTCACCCACAGTCAACGACCATCTATCGGCATGTATGGATAGCAACAGTTTAGATGCACAAATGATGTCGCCATTACTGGAAAACTTATCTTCACCGCCCACACAATACAGCCAAATGCGCTCCTACCCATCGACTCGTCCACAAGAACAACTTTCTCAGCAGGGGATCAACAGCAATACAGGCAATCCATTACACTCACGCTCGATGCACTCACCACAACTCAACGACACGGAGTCAAGAAATATGGACATGGGTAACGGTGCGGGCAACTCATGCATGGAAGAGAGTATGTACAACTCTAACACTATTATGCGACCACATTCTACCAGCAGCGCCCACAATTTGCCACATATGCCAACGCCGAATATGCAGCATCAGCATGTATCGGCATCGCCTAGTCAATCAATGCAAGCTGGTGCACTAATGCAGCATTCCCCGCCATTGCATCGCAATCATCCTTACCAAAGACCAGAACAAATGAATACATCGCCAAATAATAATGGCGTAGTCCCGCAGCAGCTACGGAACCCAGCGGACATGACTTTGAACGAGTACAACAGTGGCAGTGCAGAAGAAATGCTACGACGTGCACCACTCAAAATACGTGGACCCGATGCACTGAGTAGTGGAGCAGGTGGTGGCGGTGGGTACATGATGGGCGGGAGCGGACTGCATGATGCGGAAAATGCGTATCGCATGACACTGAAACAGGAACCGGAAACAGGTTATTAACAGTGCGAGGACTGGCTCTTGGATGGAAAAACGATATTTTAATGCTCTCTAAGAGAATGCGTAGAACAAAGTCATGTTGCAGGGAGTGGTATCGCATGTAACTGTTGCAAGAGATGTTGCTTATAAATTGAAAAAAAAGCATTGAAATGCATATATAATATTTATTTCAATTTAAAACACGTCACACAAGTTGCTAATGTCGAACTTGTTTCGACACCAATTTGTCAACGCTTTAGGTCATGTCACTTGAAGTTAAGATCAACAACGCCAAATCTACATGTTGATCTTTTAATTTAGTTATAAATATTTTCTTCTTCTTCTTCTTAGTCATAGTGTTACATGGACTTCCATACTATTATAAAACAAATATTTACACAAATGTGAAGTTATACGTAAAATTATTAAAAAAATTTTAAAATTGTAAAAATATGGTAGGCAGTTTTTAATACAAACATAAAATGTATAAGTAAAGAATAAATCTTGTTGCAATTTTTTATGCCTTTAAAAGTTAAGTAGATAGGTTTTATGGAAAATTTGTTGTTATAAAAAGTTGTTAATAAACATACATATGCATATATATTTATATATATATATATATACTATATAGGGGTTAAATAGGTAAAATTTGTATAATCACAGTGGAGTATTTGTTGGACTTTTTTCCTATAAATAGGTTAAGGTGAAAAATTTAATAAGCATTTACATAAAAACATTTTTTACAATATTTGTACTGCAACGGATCAAATGTAACAGTAGTAATTTAAAGTAAAAGAAATAAATAAGTTTTACATGAAAAACTGGTTTGTCTATTTCTATATTTCACAGCAAGGAAGTAAGTAATTAAGAATATACGGCCGGTTAGTAAGAAAATGGTAGCGAATATAGCTAAACGAATGCGACAGAGTTAAATGATTCTACGAAGTTACATTACAAAATTAAATGTAAATTCAACCATAGATACGTATGTCTTCTATAGAAATGTACACTTACCATGCATTTCCGTCAACAAATTAATTCGTAATTCGAAATGTCAGCTTCCCTGGCTGTTGGCCATTATTGGTTTCCCATCTGAAATATTTCCGTTTCCTTAACTGCACTTATTTATGCAAATCGCATGCGAGTACATACATTTGCACAAGCATGTGTATATCACCTTATTTGCACTACTCACAAAAGAACTCGAAATAGTTTTATTTATTTAACAAAAAATTAAATAAATAACACATATTCACTTGAACAAGCTTTTCAAAGTTTGTCGAAATTTACCGCTTTTACAAACGTTGCCAACTGAGTAGATTTGAATATAAAGAAGGTGACGCATTAAGAGAATTTTATTATTGACTCTTAAATAAGAGATTTACATAATTTTAAACGCCATCATTTAAATATTTTATTTATTTATGCATTATAGTTTAGACAGTAATTTAATTAATTAATTTCTCCACTTATATGTTTAAATTCTTTGATTACAGTGGCAGCATTATAAAAATTCATTCCAATCGTTTCCTGCGCAGCCAGCAACAAATTTATTCTGAAACCGGCCGGCGACTAGTGGCGTTTTTTTAGTTTTCAATTATTTTTTCAATTACATTGAGACATATTTATTTCAATAATCTTAACTGCCTTTAATTAGATTGTGATAAAATGGCTACTTTAACTAAAGCGCTCAATATTGGTGATGAGTTTCCCAACTTTCAAGCTGAGACCACCGTTGGTAAAATTGATTTTCATGAATGGATTGGTGATTCGTATGTTATAGTAGTCTTAAATATTTTTACGTATATATATATATATATTTATTAACTTTTACTCAACAGCTGGGCCATTCTGTTTTCGCATCCAGCAGACTATACACCAGTGTGCACAACAGAACTGTCCCGTGTAGCCAAACTTTTGCCAGAATTTCAAAAGCGTAATGTGAAGCCCATTGCATTATCAGTTGATACTGTCGGTTCCCATAAAGGTTGGATTGAAGATATTAAAAGCTATGGATGTAAGCGAAAAATTTTTGGCAAAGCATTTCCTTATCTGTTTAGCACACATATTTAGTAAATGTTTTTTTTCCATAACAGCTTTAGATTCATTCGACTATCCCATAATTGCGGATGACAAGCGTGAATTGGCTGTTAAATTGAACATGCTTGACAAGGATGAGCTCAACAAAGAAGGAATTCCATTAACATGTCGTGCGGTGTTTATAGTTGACGATAAAAAGAAATTGCGTCTTTCAATTCTATATCCAGCAACTACTGGAAGAAATTTTGAGTGAGTATATAGATTTTATTAAGCATGAATACAACATATAATTAAAATTGTATTCCAATTTTTTTAGTGAAATACTTCGTGTGATTGATTCACTGCAACTAACACAAAATAAATCGGTGGCCACGCCTGCTGATTGGAAGGTACACTGCATTTTACAAAATTTAGTTTAATCCCTTTTAAATAAAAAGTATCTTTTGCTTATAAATTTAGCAAGGTGATGCTTGTATGGTTTTACCAACAGTTAAGGAAGACGCTATTTCAAAATTATTTCCAGCTGGTGTGGAAGTGGTTCCAGTACCATCGGGGAAGTCTTACATACGCAAAACTCCGCAACCTTAATTTTCTATGTTTTTTTTATGATTTTTTGAAATCCTTTACATTGTTTTTTTATGATTTTTTGAAATCCTTTATATTGTTCCTTACATGAATAAAACTGAAATACAAGATACATTAAAGATTGGGTTTGTTGATAAAATGAATGCAGTTGGTCAGACGCGGCTCAGGTCGCTTCCGATAAATTTTTTGCTATTTTATATAACCATTTTAAAAAATAACTATTTTAATAAACCTAAATCAAAAAGGCATCAAATATCAACAGATATTGTTTAAGCTTGTTGATCTAAAAATATTGTGCAATATTTTGCAAAAAAAAAATCGATCGTGTTTAAATAACTATCGATATATCCCGAACTTCGCTATTGACATTTTTAATGTGCTACCCTGGCGGTAATTAATTTTCATTCAACAACATCGAATAACTAGTATTCCACAGCAACACGGAATCAACAGGTTACTAAATAACACGTCTACACGAAAGTGATATACTTAAGGAATCAGTGCTCTTGTTAATCTAACAGGAAAACATTTTACTACTGGCATTTTTTTTGCTGCGAGAAAAACTCCCCGAGTAAGTTCGGTAGAATTTCTACAAATTTTGTAAATGTAATCAGCTGAACAATGTCAACAATATTTTATGCTTTGTGTTATCAGAGGCATTAACAAGTCTGTAGAAAGTGGACTCCAAGGTTATGCTAGCTCACTGATCAATCGTTAGAAGAGAAGAATAGCAACAGCCAAGTACAAAGTTCAATTGGCTGCAAAATACCCAATTAGAATACACAACAAGGGACTATCGGTATGGGTTTTTGATTATAAGTATAAATTAATATTTTTCAATATTTCTTTACCTCAGCAAAGAGGCTGAAAATAATAATAAAAATAATAAAATGTCGGAGGCACCTGCACAAGAACGTAAGGCGAATCCCTTTAAAGCATTTTTAAGTGGTGGTTTTGGTGGCATTTGCAATGTACTCTCCGGTCATCCTTTGGACACCATTAAGGTGAGTAGTAAAATAAAAAATAAATAATGTAATATTAAATTTGAAATGACTCCAGGTGCGTCTGCAAACGATGCCACGACCAGCGCCTGGGCAGCAACCAATTTATACGGGCACTTTTGACTGTGCGGCCAAAACAATTAAAAACGAAGGTGTGCGTGGCCTCTATAAAGGAATGACAGCACCATTGACTGGTGTTGCACCGATTTTCGCGTTATGTTTCGCTGGTTATGCGCTTGGTAAACGTGTGCAACAAACTGGTGAGAATGCTAAGTTGACATATACGCAAATTGCCATCGCTGGTTCATTTTCTGGTTTGATGTCAACGGTAATCACTGCGCCGGGTGAGCGTATAAAATGTTTATTGCAAGTGCAGCAGGCGTCTGGTGGTGAACGCAAATACAAGGGCATGTTGGATACTGCAGTGCAACTGTACAAGGAAGGTGGTATACGTAGCGTATACAAAGGTAGCTGTGCGACGCTACTGAGGGGTAAGTGAACGCAAATATAAATTAAATGACTGAATCAAAGTTCAAACCAAAAAAAGACATATTTTTCTTCATTTATTTATTAAAATGTCTTATAATTTAATAACTAATTACTAATTCATAAACATATAAAATAGTGTATGGGCATGAACATCTTTTTTACTTTTAAACGTTTATATTGTAAGCTTAAAATATGTTATAATAACAGTATTGAACTCAAAAATAGATTTATCAAAGTATTTTAGGCTTAGACTCAATTCATTTGAACTTTCAATTTACTTAATTTCATTCTTAATGTGTTCAAATAATTTTGTAATTTCGAAAAAAACTCCTCGATTGCCTACATTCTTCATGACTTATACTTTAAAAAATTAAATCGGGCTTTTCCATGAACACTGCATTACAAAAATGTATTATCTCGACAAACTGCAAATGATATAATGAAATTTTCGTATTAAAATGCATATAACAAAATAATCATATTAAGAATTCCAACAAATTGGCGTTAAAATGTTTAAACTAATAATATAACCCACGCTCGCTGCTTCTCCATCAGGATTTGAAGATAATATTGTTCAAATACAAAAGACATCATTATTTGCGCTCATTGTGTACTATCTAATAACCAATTTTATATTTCATTTGAAATTTCATTATCCTCTTCTTTCACAACATGCTCCACACGCTTAGAATGTTCCTGTTTTATTACATATGCCAGTGAATTTCTCTGCGCCCATGCATTAATGCCCTGTGGTCTACTTTTTGTCAATTGATACACACTGTGCTTGGTCCCTACTTCGTTTGGATGCAATTGTGTTTGGTTTTTATTTTGCATATGCTTTAATTTGCTTTCTTCAATTTTACGCCAATGTGGCATTGGTTGTTTCATGCTTGGGCTTTGGACAACACCATTGGGCTGTGTACGCCGCTGCGTATGTGTGATTACAACACGCCCGGGTCCACATTGCAATTGCTTGTGGATGACATAGAAGACGCTACGCTCATTATAATTATTACAACGCGGCGCATAGCGATTGTCATAGACATAGCTATCTACACGTCGACATGAAATCTCTTTGCCGCTTGTGTAATCCGTTATACAGCGTTTTGTGCGTGGACCGCGCTCCTGATTTGTGATTTTGGGACGCCAGTTAAACATTTCACAACTACATTGCCATGGGTTTTCACTCAGGCGCGCTAAACGCAACTTTGAACGCAGGAAAAACGAGTGTGGTAGTGTGTGCAGTTGATTGCCTTGCAAATAAATTTCCTCCAAATTAGGTTGATCGTCCAGCAGCCCGGCTGGGAAGTAGGATATGTTATTGTAGGACAAATCAAGCACCTCAAGTCCTCTGCAGTCCATTAAAGCATCCATTGATATCTCCTGTATGCCACAATGACTGAGTTCAAGCTCACGCAGACTGTGTAGACCGGCGAAAGCGTCAAATTCAATAGTGCGTATGCTGCCATGCAGTGTGAGCTTCTCCAAAGCGGTTAAACCCTGCAAAGTATGTACATATATATGTATGGGAAAGTAAGAACTTTATTAATTCAAAGCATGTGACTTCAATTGTACAACGAATAGTTGCATGCACACATACATATTTAGATACAAATATGTATTTGATGCGCTTACCTTAAATATATTCTGTCCTAAATTGACAATTGACACATTACCCAGTTGCAATGTCGTCAGCTCGACTAGAGACTCAAATGGTTGATTGTTGCTCAAACGCAGTGCCAACATATTCGAGTCAAAGTCCATTGCGCGTGTTGAATTCATTACCCAAAAACTTGCCGGCAATATATGCCTTATGGGATTATTACGAAAATCAACACGTACCAGCTTCGGGAAGGGTGGAAAACTGCGTTCGCTCAGCTTATCCAAGCGGTTATAGCTCAAATCGAGCACTTCCAACTCCAGCAGACCGGCAAGTGCACGATAATGCAGATCATGTATTAAATTATGTGCCAAGGACAATGTTTGTATATGTAAAGCGCCGTAAAATGAGAAAGGTGGCACATCCCTAATGCCATTGCGTTCCAACGACAAATGATCCAACGCTGTCAGGCCATCAAACATCTCCCATTGCAAATCGTTTAGCTCGCAACCGTGTATGCGTAGTACTTGTAAATGCTCAAAACCATAAAAGGTGGGCATACGGGATTTTATCAATTCCTGTTTGTACACATCATAGGGCACAATATTGTCCGGAAGGTCATAATCATTCAGTGGCGCAAATGCAATGGCGTCACCATCCTCATATGACTCACTGCGTGGTTTATAATCATAACTATCCTTTGGATGTGCCGTATTCTTGGGCCGTTTGTAATTATCGTCGCCCAGCAGTGTGACCGATTCAAAGTTGGCATGCTGTAGAAAGCTGAGCGGCTCATCGAAAAGTATGCGCAGTGAACGATTGAGGCCACCGCGCACTTCCAATGTGCTGAGTTGATTGAGCGGCTTCAGTGTGCTGAGATTAACTGAAGTTGGAATAAAATTATAAATAAATAATTAAAATGAGATTAAAGAACACTGTTTAATGAAACAAATGTGGCGTATATAAGTTTTTATATATGCATTTATGTATGTACATATATACATATATTCATAAGAAGTATGTAAAGGCTTGTAAACAATTGCTTATCTTGCGCTGGATACTTTTTTTAAGGCCTGGGCGCGAGTTTATCACAAAACCCAGTATATCCTTCACATACATATGTACATATACGTGTGTATGCACCTAAATACAATTAAGCATGTTTTTGTAGTATTTTCATTTTCTTTTTTTTTATAAATTTTATATATGTTAATATTTTTTATATTTTTTAATTTTGTTTTTACTTTTTATTTCATTTACTATTTTTTCTTGTTCAACCATTTTAACGTTTTTAAAACCAATTTATTATATAAATTTCTCACCGCTTTTATTTCTCCCACTACTTGTGTAGAGCAATATCAACGCGTGCAAATCATGCGGCAGCTTCTGTATCAAATCCTCCACATCTGTCTCCTCTTGCAGTATACATGTGGCTTGTTTCATATAGGGATTTGTTAAGTATGTATCGCTATCAGCCTCATTACTATCGAATGCACGCTCATAATCCCAAGCGTCGTCTTCGGCTACCGCTGCGGCACGTCGCGCCTGCAAATGCTGTATCCAACGGGATATGGGAAGTTCGGTAAAATGTGCATATTGACATACACAACCTAATGGACATTGCAACGTGTCAATTTCCAATAGGGGCTCATGCGGCAATGTCAGTGGCGGCGATGGCGGCGGCGTTTCTTCCTCCGTAAGCTGCCAACGTTGTGCTCGTTGCGACAGCACTTCATTGTGCGCTCTTTCGTGCGCACGTAGGCCTAATTTTTTGTGCGGTTGCTTAACTTGATGATATTTATGAAATATACCGTGATTTTTACCATGAGGCTTGGTTGAAATACGTGCGGCATGCACACTGAGCTGCTGCGGGCGTGGAAGGGGGGGGAGAAAAAGTGGGATTTGGTTTGGCGTTAAAAAGAATGCAAAATATATACATATATATCTTTTGAAGAATTATTGGCGTTTTTGTAACATTAATTTTACAACATTTTTATTTTAATGGCCAAGATTTTTTTTTATATTAACTCACAATTAACAACAAGAACACCAACAACATGCACAACTCTTTCATTTTGAACGCGTGGATTTCTCACGTGTACTGTTGCCACCGCGAAATATTGGAATTTTTTTTAACAATTTTAATTTTAATATCCTTTAAGTTCTTTTTTTTCACTTTTTATTTAGCATCAGTTACATTATATGCTCTCCTACGCAGCACAATTTCTTTCTGCCACCGCACTAAACTACTCGCCAAGGCTCGTTGCCTCAAATGATTTGCTGGTTGCCCATTGGGTTCGAGTGTCGTTTTGCTACTACCGCGCATTGTATAGTTATTGTAAAGTTATTTCGAAAAAAATAACAATGAAATTGTGTTTAAGATAAAGAAATCTTCATATCCACTAGTAAACGAGTACACACATCGCCCATATCGTACAGTAGTAGTAGTAGTAGTAGTATTTATATACAATAACAACATACTTGAGGAGGAAGTGCTACATCCTTTGTAGCTTATCGCATTTACATACATACGAGTGGCTCCAATTCCACACCGCCTTCATTCAAAGTTCTGTTGATTTAAAATTAACATCAAACACGCTGTTATTTTATTCATCATACATACATACATCTGTCTGTATGTAAACTAATTCCGAATATATGTAGTATCTTTGGTAAAATAAATTTACTACTCCATCGTATTTCCTAATTTTGGAATTGCGGAAGTTGAACAAATTTATTTTTAAATGCTCGGCACACAAAGGTCGAGCACGCATAATTTTATAAGCTACTGTATATTGCATGCTGTACATAACCTAACTTTTTTGCTTCATCCAGATGTTAATCTCACCGAAAATTTAAAAAACTACTAACTTTGCTTAAATACGTGTGTGTGAAAGTGCAATTTTTTTGTAATTTAATATAAAAATATGTAAATAATTATAATTCATTACAATTTGTGCATGTATGTGTGTGGCTCTATTCATTTTTCCTCTCGTGTAAGTGTGTCGTTTAATGTTGAAGTAGAAAAAAAAATACTCTAAATTCAATTAATTTCGTATGTTTGATTGTGCCCTTTTTATTATAGATCTGCCCGCAAACGCCTTTTATTTTCTCGCTTACGAGTATATTCAAGATAAGGCCAAAGAGCAGACTGGCAGCGAAAAGATTAGTGTCACATCGACAATTTTCGCTGGCGGCGCCGCAGGCATTGCATATTGGCTGGTCGGTATGCCGGCTGATGTGCTAAAGAGCAGATTGCAAACAGGTAAGATAATTTATAATTTAGAAAAAAAAAAAAGAATTTAATTTATATTAATAATAGGAACTCTTGTAGATTTATTCAAGTATTATTATTATTTCATATTTTATTTATTTAAGTTTAATTTATTATTTAATTTATTATTTTTTATTTATTTAATTTTAATTTATTATTTAATTTATTATTTTTTATTTATTCAATTTTAATTTATTATTTAATTTATTATTTTTTGTTTACATAAATATGATAAACTAATATTTTTTTTCTGAAATCATATTTCAATTGTATTTATATTTCATTTATTTGTTTTTCATAAATTTTTTTTTATCTTTAATACTTTGATCATTTATTTTTAATTTACTTGTTTTTCCTTTGTTTGTTATTTGTAATTTTTTATTTTTGGCTTGTTTAATTTGTTTTTTTGTTATTTATATTTTATTCTTTTTTTGTTATTTATTTTATTTATGTTATTTATTTTATTTTTATATTTTTTATTATTATATTTATTATTATTATTTTATTTTATTATTTATATCTATTTATTTTTTTAATTTATATTACTATTTCCTATCAATTTATTTTTTATTTTTTTAGTTTTTTTTTTGTTATTCATTTACAATTTTCTATTGTTTACTTATTTCTATATTATTTATTTTTAATTTGTTTTTTTTTTTTATTTATTTATTTTGTTTATTTTTATTTTAATTTTTTTTAATTTATTTTTTATAACTTGGTTTTTTTTATTTATTAATTTTTTACATTTATTCTTGTTTTATTTATTTTTGGTTTATTATTTTTATAGATATTCATTATTTGTTTAAATTTTTTTTAAATTAATTAATTTTAATCTACTGTTTTTTATTTTATTTTTAAATTTTTTTATTGTATAAATTTTATAGTTTTCATTTATGTATCTTACGTCTTCTCTGAGGAAAATTTGGTGCTCCTCTCTCAGCTCGTGCACAGCGCCTGACGCGAATGGTGGCTGGGAGAGGACATCACCCTGTGGAATAACTAGTTTTTTTTACTGAGTCTTGAGTTGTGACCACGAAACTCCTACCCAATCTTTCCGCACCCCTTCTGTTCTTTTAACCCAAAACCCCAACATTCGACGCTTACATTGCATGACGCACATAATTTTATTATTTTTTCACTTATTTATTATATAAAATTTGCTTTATTTTAACAAAAAGAAAATAATTCTCCTCCCGTCTTCTTTCTAGCACCGGCTGGCACATATCCCAAGGGCGTGCGTAGCGTGTTCAAGGATCTAATGCGTCGCGATGGCCCGCTGGCGCTTTACCGTGGTGTTACGCCGATTATGTTGCGTGCCTTCCCTGCAAATGCTGCCTGCTTCTTTGGCATAGAATTGGCCAATGACGCTTATGATGCCATCGCTGCACTGTTATAACTCAAGAATTTTAAGCTCGAAGACTAAAGCAATTATTTTTTTTTGTATGAAACCAATGTTGGAATAGTGCACTTATATACATATTATATGTATGTACATATGAATGTGTATGAAACAAAAATACACTCAAATTTTATTTTATTAGCAACAAATTACATTTTTTATGAACAATTATTATTATTTCCACATTGTTATTGTAGAAATGTGTAGCGTAGGATTTTTTAAATTTAAAGAAATATACAAATAAATTGTCTACAAAGATTTTGGAATTGTTTTTTCACCACATTAAAATATATTTTTAAATTTTTATTTATTTATTTGTTTTTAAGTCAGTCTCATATTTGTTTATTCTCTTATAGATGTGCCAGCAAATGCCATTTATTTTGCAACTTATGAAGCTTTTCAAGATTTCATCAAGCAAACATTTCCACAAATGCATATGGAAGTATTATCGGCAATAGTTTCGGGTGGCATGGCTGGTATTGCCTACTGGGTGGTGGGCATGCCACCAGATGTGCTCAAGAGTCGGCTGCAGACAGGTGCGCTGGTTTGTGCACTCTTTTGATTGTATTTAAATCAAAAACCGTTAGAAAATATGTTAATTGAGAAGAGATCGTTCGAAATATTGAGACCAAATAACTGTATTTAGTGCAGTAGAGAGTACAGTGCAGAGTAGAGTAGAGAGTCTCTTCAATCTCTTTCTTTAATTTTTCCCTCGAAGATTTTCAAACAGAATACTGTAAAATTCGAAAAAGTCTCTTCCACTTTCTATCTTTTAGTTGTGCTAATGGCTTGATTTAATCATAGATGGGGTTCAGTGGACTTAACTGGTGTGTCCAAATCAATTCACCCTGGCGATATAAGTATGCCAATGCTAAAATATCTGTGTCCATCGGAAACAGGCTTCCGTGACAAGGTCCTCAACCTATCTTTAACCAGTCAAATGACACCACATATATCGAAACGACAGTGCGCTGCTGCTGTCAAGCCTGAGAAACCCCATCACTTCTCATACCAGCAGTGAAAACGCTTGATGTTAGACTAGAATTATCAGTTATCTTGCACAATTAAGATCTTCGACATACCAAGTGTAAGTTCTGCATGCAATGAGATCCCGCCCGACACTCGCCACCTCTTTGCTCCATATGACCTAATCATTCAACCCATTTCCCGTTCGTCCAAATCCGTCCTAGAACTCCTGCTAGATGAACTCGGTGTCTTATACTAGTCCTGCCTGCCTCACTTAGGAAGGTTGGATAATAGCAACAACAACAACAACAGCACGCTTGAGGCCGAAAGAGTGACATCCCTTGAACGAATACTATTCAGATAAGCTCTGGTGCATAGAATTGGCTATAGTGCTGGGTCGAGATCCAGCGGTGGCGAGTTTCAGCTATTTTTTTACAATTTGAATTATATCAGATATGTGGAAACTGGGTAGAGTGGTCCGGCTGCTTGCAACCGGGAAAGCAGCCAATAAAGCGGCGCTTTATATTCTTACCTTCCGTCTTTGACACATCACCTGAGCACCCAGCAGCATATCAACAAGCGGTCTAATACCTTAACCAAAGTCGACCTGCGTCCGAACTGCTCCAGTAGTACTGGACTGCTGGAAAGACTTCACGCAGACTATCACTCAGTGCTTCTCTCGGTCATTGAGGAATTCACGTTACCGTCAGGGTTAAAAAGGTGGACTATGAATTATCTGAGTCAGCAGTCAGCGATAGGATTACGAGGTCAACACTAAAACCGTGGGAATATTAAACCAGGGATTCAAGGGTTTCGTTCTGTATATGATCGCTGTTGTCCCTCTCAGTTATCAGCCGCCCGAGCATCAACTATGTACCGTTTATTAAGACGTCCAGCACGTGGAAAAATTGTAATTCCGTCCGAATATCGCCTTGATTAAACACCATACACATAACGAGACAAGTAGGCTTATGAGTTGGAACTCCGCCAGGATGCTACTTGCAGATATTGGCTAGAGTCCAAACTGCCCCAGACACATATCGGATTGTACCCATTGTTAGTATCCACTCTTGACCACATTCAGTAGAAAGTAGATTGGCTCACTGAATTCGCAGACCAGAGTTTGTATCAAAAAGGGTTCAGAAGTAGGAATATCTCTTACAGCTATGAAGTCAAAGGAAAATAGCTTCTGAAATTGTATATAATTTTGAATCAATGAATTTCATGGCCATCGAATTCGTTTCTCCCACAGCACCACCTGACAAGTACAAACATGGCATACGTAGTGTCTTTGCCGAACTGATGCGGACCGATGGTCCCTTGGCTCTCTACCGTGGCGTATCGCCAGTAATGTTGCGTGCATTTCCAGCAAACGCCGCTTGCTTCTTCGGCATCGAGTTGGCGAATGCATTTTTCCGAATAGTGACACCGAATTTTTAAGGTATGTACGAATATATATATTTAAAATAAGAATGTGAAGGACTTGTTTTTTTATTTCCATTAAATTTTATATATCTTTTATCGGGTCTTAGCGGTTTTAAAAGAAAAAAGAAAATTTTACTCAGGTTTAAAGATCCCACTGTTGCGAGACTTTTGTTATAAGACGCCTCTTGCGATAGGTTTTTCTTTAAGGACACAATACAACATCCAGCAATATGTGCAACAACCACTGGACAGGACGGCGTACAGACAAGCACTGAATTTCATTCACCAGGAGTCAGTCAACATCTTCAAGGATTCCCTTCCAGTGAATGGCGTGGTCGGAAAAAAACCACCACCCATAGCAGACAACGAGTTCGAGCTGCCTCGAGAGACTCGCGTTACCCTGATACAAGTCAGGTCTGGATATTGTGGAAGGTTAAACTCCTACTTATCCAGATTATGCCCTGCATGTGGAGAGTCTCCGCACTAACCACCTCTTCACATGCCCTCTCTAACCTATTTATCTAACCACTCTATCCCTTTGGCCCAACCCCGTCGAAACAGCTCGTTTCCTGGACCTCCTGGAAATAAATTAAATTACATAAATATAAATATAAATATAAATATAAATATAAAATAAAATAAATAAAAAATAAAAAAATAAAATTGAAATAAATTAGAATAAAATAATAAAAGTGGAGCAAAACTAAATGAAATAAAACAAAATTAATTGGCGCTTTGTAACCGCTGAGCGATTTTTCGGCCGAGCTCTTCCTCCAATTTGAGGTTTTGCGTCTTGAGATCTTCCCAACAAATGGAGGCACCTACAGTTTATACTAAGCCGCCTACGAACGGCTGATGGTTTCTTTATGAGGAGTCTTTATCTCATGCCACACTCGGAGAGGTTGACATTCAATGAAGAGGGGAATTAATTTTCTATAACTTTTTGGTTGTTAGTACGACATCAGCCAGCGGCCGCCATGTAATTAATTTAAACTATATATAAAATAAAATTAAATTAAATTACTATATAAATGTAAAGTAAAATAAAATGAATTTAAATTATTTAATTATAAATAAAAATAATCTAAAATAAAATAAAAAAAAAATTAAAAAGTAAAATTAATTAAAATAAAAAATTTCCTTACAAAAAATATTTTTTTCAAATGATCTAATCAATTAATTTTCGCGTCGGCTCACTTTGGCAAATTTTACAGTTAGTTTGTACCCGTCATACCCAGTAGAAAATTCTTTGTTGACAATCATGCGATTTTATTTTTATTTTAATCACTTACAAAATATTTGTTTTTTTTTTTTTTTTGGACACAATTTGTTTTTGTTTTTTCTTTTGTTGCATTACTACAATAAATACAATATTTAAAATTGGCATTTAAATATTTTTAACTTAAATAAAAAAATATATAGTATATAAGTGGCGTTACAACGAACTGAATATGGTTAAAATGTTTTCCTTCTCTTTCTTTCATCTCGCTAAACATATGTAGATTCTTACCAACAATTTTTGAGGTATTACAATAACAATATATTCTTTCAATCGCTTGTTACACATACGAACAATTCAATTCAATGTCGTGGTAACATTACAATTATTATTTTTTTTTATAATTAAATAAAATATTAATAAATAATTAAACTGCTTAAACAACTATTTTTCTCTCTCTCTCTCTCGCTCTAATTTTGATTTTCTTTCTAAAGACACGCTTAACAATAATGCACTATACCTTAAAAACATGAAGACCGTTCTTCCACTCTAATTAATAACTGTTGAGACGTTTGTTCTTATTCTTTTTAACCATAATCACACGCGCTTTAAGCAATTTTTCTATCATGATTTTCGAAATTGAATACTTTTTGCTTCATATTTTCGGCTTTGGAAATCGTGTAGGGCGACAAAACCATTGGTAAAACATTGAATGACTTCAGTTCTGGCAGTTTAATGTTCAGCTGGAAGGGAGAGAGGATTTTGGAAAATATTCAAATTGAAAAAAAAAAAATTTTTTTTTTTTGATTTTTGAAACTCACCAAAGCATTCTGTCCCGCTTCACTGTCGGCGGTGCTATGTGACCAAATAGGATCTATCCAAAAAGGCATATTCTAAAGAGAGAAAGAAATAACATTTCAAAAATCCATACATTTCAGTTGCCGTTGTTGAGTAAAACCGTTTAGTGAATGACATAACCTATAAAATCTAAAATGAATGCTTTAGGAACCTTGAAAATTTACTATTGCAAGGAAAGAGAGAGAGTTCAACGGTCGGCAGCTGTTCTCTTTACGGCCTTTTGATGACTGAGAACTCTTCTCTTCTTCTTCTCTTAGATCTGTATGGCCTCTAGAAGATCAAGGGATCTAAGCTTGCTAGACCAGTTCACCATCAATACAAAAACTGGTACACGAACTATATACTGTTTAATGGGACTTCACGGTAGGAGAAAGGGATAATTTTCGAATGATTTTTGTCGAAGCTACAGAGACGAAGAAGAGAAAGAGTCTGTACCACCTTTGTCACTGTCTAAGCTCTAAGCACTATAGGACTTAAGTGCCTAGGATATCACTTCTGCGTTCTTTGCTGACATAGCAACGGCTGGTATAGGTAGTATCGCATCGTTCATACGGCTTACGTAATGACTCGGATGTCTGGGAAGTATAGTCGGTTATCATCTTCAGGCCTGGTCGCTGTGATCAACAGCCGCATCAACTCAACTCAACACAGCTGATAGGGAAATACTCTCTGTTGACCCGCAGGAGCTTGTAGCCTTTCGCCAAACGATAAAGACAACTATTGAGCAATGTTATAACCCGGTCAAATATTTCGGTATAACTCTTGATGGAAAAACATCGTTGGAGGGCACATTTCAAGTTCATCGGGAAACTTCACCTCGAATTAGTTTGAACTTTTATTTGGCATTATAAAGAATGACTAGTCTTAAGTACGGCAAGGCTTCCAGCCAGTCTAGCTTAATCTTACCAATCGTTCGATATTTTAAAAGTGGTGTGCGATTTTTTTAGATCTTCACAACGTGCCAGCAAAAGAGCTGAATAATATTGGGAACACCAAACAGACCAATGGCCGACAGACCGCACTGTCCGAACCGCGGAATGGAAGGCGAAAGGACACATAACCGTTTCAGAAGAAAGACGGCATAGGTACTTCTCAAAAATATACTCACATTCGACGGTGGTGTGTCCGGCTTTGGCGGCTCATACATGGGATACATATGCATATTGACCATTGGCTGGTCCACATAGGCAGACGGTTCCTGCTTGATTTTCCCTTGTGCGATTGCCGATTGATATTGCTGTTGTTGTTGTTGCAGCTGTTGCTGTTGTGTGTGGAGTTGATGCTGTCCATGCGCATCCATAGCAGCACCTTCCGACGTGGACATAATAAGTGATGGCAGAACCGACATTTTCTCACTCATCATATGCGACTGTTGTTGTTGTTGTTGAAAAGCCAGCGAAGCGGCAGTAGCGGCAGCGATGGCAGCAGCATGACGACGATCCCAGAACTTTGCTGTTCCGCCCAACTGCGTACCAGCCATAGTGGTAGTGGTTGTACACATAGCGGACGCGTCGGTGGTAGCCTGCGAAAACTCGGTTTGCTTCAGTTGTGTGCGGCTCATATTCAAATCGGACAAAGATAAATTAGTTGAGTTCAACGAGGTGTTAAAAGCGCCGCCAAATGATGAGTTTAGCGATTGGTCGGTCATGTGCGCAGAACTCGATGCAGACATATTGAGGCTTGAGTTATTTGAGGCGACCGAATAGATGGAGGCATTGCCATTGTAGCTGGAATGTGAGGCCAATGCAGTGAAGCTCTGTTGTTGATGTTGTTGCACATTTTGTTGCTGGTTTGACTGTTGTTGCGGTAGCAGTTGCAGTGGCGGCGGTTTTGGTTTTGTAGCTGCGCTGCGTTGTATCTTCAGCGGTGGCTGGTATGCAGCGATGCTGCAGGTAGTCTTGGCCTTGTAGTTGTTAGACGTCACCTGATAGTTGTTATTGATGTCGATTGCGGTTGAGAGTGCACGAGTTTTAGCCGGAGGGCCTTGCAGACTGTAGCTACGACTGTTGTTGTTCTCGCTAAGTGGCAGACGGAGGGGACGTGACGGTTTTTGCTTGCTGGTCGTGTTTTTCACTCCACTGAATGAACCGGAGCGGCTTGTTGAGGCGTTCATGGGCACTATAGATAATGAAGAAAGTAAGAAGGGCAAAGTTTTACCAGGAATTTTTCTTTAAACTTACGTTCACAATTTGGTTGCAATGAAATTTCACTTCGCTCCTGTGTAAGACCCGTATGGATGACGAAAATGTCGGTGAATGCAGATACGACGGAGAAGAGATTTGGATAGCCTGCAAGGAAGACAGAAGGCGTGTTTCTTTAATACTATTTTATATGTGTTAAGGTTTGAATGTGAATGAAAGTAAAGCAAAACTCCGAAACACAGTTCAGCCTTCTAGCAGATAGAACAACTCCAAAGGAGTTCGGATGAGTAGCTCTCCGAAAGACCGCGACAAAATCTGTCTAATGTAGAGCTTCAAACTCTTCACCGAGACACTTACATGTTGAGCTCTCTCAATCTTTAAACTCTGCTTCCTGAGAGACGCTTGAAACTACTTGAAGTCAAAGAGCTCATAGGGATAAAAAAAAAGCTCTTCTAATGGACAGATTCTGCAAATGTAGGATTAGTCGCTCTAAAAGCTTCTCTATTCTTACTTTCCATACAAGCTCTAATCAGAGAAAATCTCTACAGTGGGAAACACATTTAAATTCTACTAACTTCTCGCAACTTCTTTGCAGTTGTCGCTAAAATGCGTCCTGAGAGTTGTTGTTGTAGTTGGAATGGCTAAAATAACTCCGTCCAGAGGAAAGCAAATCTAATCGAGGTAATCCTGCGGAAGCTTCGACGAGCTCGGGGCTGAATAGCGTCTACGACAACAACCACACGAGCTCGGACGAGAGAGCAAAGGTTGTTAAACTACTCAACTACCAACCTTTTCCCTCTTGTTCGAGCTCGACATGCAAAGAGGTGGGACTCTTAAAGGGATACAGGAGTAGCAGTTAATTCTCTACGCTATCCAGAAATTGGTTGTGCGTCATCTAACAACTCTCGGCTTCTGTTGATGTTATGCCCGAGCCAAATTAGAAGGCTTTTGTGGGCATCATATTGATAATGGTAGAAAACGAACCGTTTGAGAATGGTGTATCTGAAAGAATGGACATGGAAAGATTCAGCGTCATTGATATCTCTTCGTTTCTGCTTTTGGGCAGAAGGGACTCTGTACAAACTCGCTGTAAAGCTGCCGAAATTCTCTGGAAGAGTCAGACATTTTGCCAAACATTAACTTCCTTGCTATACCCAGAGCCAGAAAAGCTAAGCTAATTTTCCATAATTTTGGTTGTTGATCGGACCACAATTGGAACCCTGGCCACCCAATAGTGGGTGCCTCTCTATAACTCTATAACGCTTGTTCTTAGAAGATTTGACCTATGCCTTGCGCGACTACGACATGATCCAGCGGCTAAATGTGTTATTTTAGAAATCCTTTGCAAACCTACCGAACTCAAAGGTGGTCGTGATGTTGCAATGTAAAGCATTTTTGAGCTCCGTCAACATGACCGTAGTGCGCTTCTCCACAACGCGTATTATGTTCAGCAGAAATTTCAAAAACGATGTGCTGCGTACATAAGCGACTTCCTCCTCCGTAAAGATCTGCAAATATAAACGAGTTATTTATACTCAAAACCAGGCGCGTGCGTAGTGCTTACCTCGATCAGATGTTTCATGGCCTTAACTGTGCTCTCACTTATTTTCTCCTCATATTTCTTATTGAATTCTTCAATCAGAGCGGCCAGAGTAAGATTCTTGCAATGATTCTCCTTGGTATCACTGGCGGCCGATTCATTGAAGCTGCTTTGGAGACTGCCTTCTTGCGCCAGAATCAACCTACAAGCACGATAGCTCTGATTACGAAACAGAGTGTCCTCGCGATGGCATATAATCCACAAAACATTATCCTCTTTTTCCAACAACTGCAAGGAAAACTTTTGGTTAGAGTTTACTTACAAAAATGCTGTTTTTGGGCAATTACTCACCTCTATGTAAGGCATCATTGCCACGCCTTCCGCAATGCTGCTCACGCCCAAAGTCTGCGGTAGTATTTGATAGCCATACTTCTTTTTGTGCAACTGCAGCATCTCATCCAACTTCGTACAAGTCTGCGCTGTGCCCGTAACATTGCTTACGAGCTCTTCACACTGCTCGGCAAAGACACGACGCGCCACTTTCGGTGTGAGATAAATCTTTTTATCCTCATCGTTTGTCTGCTCCATTTCGACGACGCCCTGTATGGCCTCCATTAGGTCGGCCAACTTAAGGAAACCATAGTCGCTCAGGCGACACTGATAAGCGAAATGATAGTGATAGGAGCGCACGAATTTCTGAAAGAGTATGGTGTATTGCGGCGCATTCCGGAAAAGCTCGACCATTTCGCCCGCAAATAATATAGTCTTCTCCAGCTCGACATTGGTTTGTTTACGCTTCGGCATCGAGATGAGCATATCATCAGAGTTGGACACACGCGACATTACGACGACATTCGAGTTGGCAAGCCCATCCAAGATGTCGCGTATATCGCACACGCCATAATCGGTGACGTCAAAAGTGCGATTTTGCGTTTGCGCAAAAATTGTTGGCAGCTGCGAGAGCAAGACTGATTTGTTGCCGTGCGCGCGTAAAATACGCAATAAATCCGAGGTGAAACGACGCAGCTGCGTGCGATGCGTTAGCGTAATCTGACGGTTCTCGCCGTCGCCAATAATCTGCACCACCGTGCAAAGGGCTTCAAACAACTCAATCAGCTTGGTGTAACCATAATCGGCAACGCGACACTGCTTGCCGAAGTGATTGTGATAGGCTGGTATGAAGCGATTGAATTTCATCGTGGACTTTGGTGACATCTTCACCAACTCGATAACTTCACGTGAAATCTGATATAGCGGATCGCTGGCGCCGCATGCAGATTTCGAGTATAAGCCGCGCTCCAGCGACGACGACGAAGTGGCGCTCGTAGCGCCGATGCTCGCATTCAGTGGCGCCGCATAATTTGCATAATTATCCTTCTCCGCCTCGAGCCAGCCGAGTATCTTAATGCCAAAATTATTCACTTGTATCTGTATGCCCTGCACACAGCACACCAAATGCTCCAAGTTGACACCATTCTCATTCGGTATTATTTCAGTATTCATCTGGCCGTTGATGCAATGCACCAGCGAAGCGACCGGTATGTCGCCGGTGTGATTCTTCAGCAAGGGATATATAATCCTTTGTATTTCGGATATTGTCATCCAGACATTCGGTAACGGTTCAATATCTTGCTCAGCCCAGCCTTTGTGTTGTTCACGTTTGAAATGTACAGTACAATAGGGTACACTGTGTTGTAGACCCTCCATTAAGGGTGAGTTCTCCAGCGAGTTAATGACGCCCGTTTGTAGGCTAATGAATTTCTCCTCGCTATTATCAACGCTGATCGTGCAGATGTCGGGCATTTTATAGAGATCCAAAACGCTAATAGATGTCTTGAAGCGTGCTTGAAAAAGTTCACGGAACTTATACATTGGTAGTGTGTAGTAGGGCACGTCCTGGGGAAGTGAAATTCGTTAAGCGTAAAACCAAATAAATATTTTATGGAATCAGCAAAAAAAACTGTAATAGAAATCTTTACTTGCTAAAATTAAAGGACCAGTAAGCCCTCTTCATGAAGTAAATAAATTTGGGTTCACTAAGATGAGAACTCCCTTGACTGAGAGCCACACACGTACGTGTACAGCACCGTTTTTTAGAAGTGGAATAGTACGAATCACAGCAAATACTGCACACCTCGTCAGCACACCTGCCAGGATCAGCAGGGATGTTGGCAGATGGCAGTATAACCAGGCAGATCTGGCTATAACCGAGCACTGATTAATGAGGACTCATGGTAGAATAATACGTTACTTCTCTCATGATTACCGTCACAACCGCAAGGACATAGACGAGGATACGTCGGTAGTGCATTAGCTCTCCCACGGCCCAACATTCTGCCACTGCCCAACCTTCTGCCACTACCCAGCGCTCTGCCACTGTCCCGCCCTCTTTACGGTCTAGACTTCATTGCGGCCCAGAACTGAGTGCAGTCCAAGATTGTTTAATCGGTAATTTTTATTTCGACCTGTCATGCAGAGATTGTTTAAATCAAGCTCGTGTTTTCATAAACTCAGTAAGTGATCTGAAGATCTCGTAAGATGAAGGCAACCTTTTTTCCAGGTCTACAGTATCGCAACGTACGCTTAATCAGAGTTCCTTGATGATGTAACTCCAACAACTAGCCAACATTAAGCTGATCTGTGTAAGATCGAGATATGCTAGTTTCCATATGTAGATTCTAAGGCACAGAAATAGCTCGGATCCTCCATATTGACTTCATTCCTCCGTTGTAAACCTCGAATTACCACTCTTAACCTGCGCTCACTAATATTTCTATTGTCTGCAACTCAGTCTTCAACAACTTTAGATGGCTTAACTTGCCATAGCCCCCTCTCTCTCAGTGCGAATTAATGAGCCGAACTTAGAAGTCAGAGTTCAATGATGTATTCAGCATCTCTTCTTGGTTAGAGGTGAACGTTGAACCCCAAGTCACCGCTTTTAACCTACGCTCACTAATATATCAATCAACTCTTGCCGTCTGCTGCCAGCAGACCGCCTTTTGTGCTGCTATTTGTATCCGACACTGTATTCTTGATTGTGTGTCCAATCAGAATGAAATGAAAGAGCAGATAGTAACTCAAGTCCTTTGGAAGAGCCGATTTCCGGCATCTATTGTTTGACGAAAGTATGCCGCCCCTTGGGAATATTTCTAATTGGTTTTCAAAGGGACATACAAATGAAGCTCTACAAAGGCGGAGTGTGTGGGTGTCTCTTACACAAAATCGTTCTAAGTCTTTTGGCTTGAATTCCGCTAACCTGAATCGAAATTGTAAGGCCTAGAACCACACCAAACTTGAGTATCCTTGTCATCCTATCGACCACTGAGAATGCTATACGAAAAGAAAAACTCTTACCATTAAGGCCGTTTATGTGACTTTTAGAAATCCCGTCACGAGCTCCGATCATGTTTATAAAATAACCGATACGAATCGCTAACGTGCTTACCTTAAGTAATCCCGCTACCTGACAACGCAACGTATTGATTTCGGTCAGCGAGGAGTCGCGTGTGTACGAGACTAACATGCGTTTGTGTCCGATCTTCTTGCGATGTAAATTCGAGACGACTTGTTTTGCGAACTGTAAGCAGAACAGAGATTATCTAGCAACGCACATACATAACACAAGCAAAAGCGATACTTACAAACATATCCGGTACAGTGACTTTGGCATAGGAATTGCCTTCAAAGACCAGCGACAGAACCGGTGTTATCGGCTTCAATTGTCCCATTAGGAAATTGCGTAAACTCGATTCCTCCATGGTATAGTCCAAATTGGTGATTTGCAGTGTAATGGATTGACTGGCGGTGGCATTGCACGAGCCGCAGCTCTTAGTTAATTCCACATTGCCATTGATGTCTGTAACCATAACAGAATTTGTATCCGTCATACCACCGACCGCAGTAGTAGCCAGACTACGCCGCATTGTCTGTACCGCCGTGCCACAGTTTCCCAACGTAACCGCCGCGCGCCGGCTGCACTCCAACGCTGCGTTCGTGCTCTTCTCGCTGCCGCACTCACTTGGCGCTTTGCCAGCCATCGCTGCCGCTGTCACCGTTGAACTAGCCAACGGCGGACCGCCCAGATAATTCGGGTAGTTCTGATAGATATTGGAGAATTGCTGATATGTCGCATACATTTGTTGTGCGCTCGCGCTCATGGCATTCGTAAGCGGTAGCGTGTTCAAAGCCCTCGGCATACCCGATGGCATGCCGAGCGAGCAATTCGGTTGATACTGCGCTGCGGCAGTGGTATTCGTTGTTGTGCGGTTATAGGGCATATAACGGTTTCGACTATAACTGTACGACATGCTGCCTGCTGCGCCACCACCAACTAAGCCACCGTTAAGCTCAAGTGTCGTGGTTGGTATGCTGTATGCACAGTTCTCCGATAGTGGTGCATTTGACTGAGCCAAAGGATTGTTGTTGTAGAATAAATGCTGATGCTGCTGAGTGTGGAGCTGCGACTGACTATTACAACCGCCAAAATAATGTAGTGACGGCCCTAGTAGACGAGTGTGCGCATTAGCGACATCCAAAGTACTCGAAGCAGCGAGAGCTGTATCCGTAACTATGCCGTTGGTATTGCCGGAGCTCGTACCGTAATAATTCGATAACTCAGCACAGCGCTGGTTAAGACCAGACGGTGGAAATGACTGATTTAGTTGTTGTTGCTGTTGATGTAAAACGCCATTGTAGTTGGAGTAGGTCGCATCTTCGGCTTGAAAGATACTGAAGAGGAAGATTATAAATTGAATTGTATTAGCATTTCGTTTATTCTAAGAGATTAAGTGTAGTCTCAAGTACAAATTAACTTCCCAAGTCGACACAAGTGTCCACCAGAAACATACTAAGCCAGATTGTACAAGTCTGGTAGGCGATACTCATGACGAAGAGAAGCACTAAACCTCTGGAGCAAACGCAACTAGACGGTTACCTTGCAGTTGGTATAATAGACGCCATGAAGACTGTCTATTCAAAGCCTCTGAAAGTCTTCTTAGGCATCAGGCCAATTAACATACAAGTAACCGCTGAATCAGTAAAGAGTTTGCCGCCTAAACACCCTAGACGCTTGGATTTTAGGGGATTAAATGAATGAAGGGCATGAGAGTATACAAGAATTTGTAAGATTGCTCCGGCTAAATAAACAATAAAATTAAGGCAAAGAAAAGTTTTTGCCAGATGTAGGCCATCCAGATCTTAACGGGCTTCTGAGCCGAAGCCAAGGTCAACAGTAATTGTGGAGATATTTATAACCATTAATGGGTGGCGGGAATGTCATCATCGACTGCATCAGACCTTTCAGCTCCTGCAAATTTTGTTTAATGCACCAAGATGCCAAGAATGTCAGATCTGTAATCCTCCTCATCCTCATCCTTCACTCTGAAGATGCTGTAGAGCCTAATGAATATTGAAAAACGAATGAAGGAAACCTTACATTTGCCTATGATATCTTAGCAGGTATTGGATGGCCGATATCGGACCAATTCTAACATAAGCAAAATGGAATACAAGCAACAGTCTGAGAGGGGGTTACTGCAGCCATAAAGTCATGTCCAAAATATACTCCCCTATCAATTGCTTATAGATATCGTCATTACGCTATCACATTTATGGAATGGGACTCTGGGAACCAAAAAATGATTTGGACATAGCGACATGCTAAATAAGTTCTCAACACCCTTAAGTAAGTCAGACTATGTGCTCCCAAGGTTATATTTCAATAGTTGCTTCAAGGTGAGGATACGCTCTAGGCAGGAATGGAGAAGAGGTTTCGTGGTAGAGGACACCATCTCATTCTACTCCGATGTATGGAAAATGAACTGCGAAACGGAGACGTTGGTATTCACCGAAGGTCTCATAATCTCCTTTACTTTTCGTCTACTAAATTCTCCTGGTATCTATCAAAGGGGCGATAGCCAGACGGCTTTGAAGGTAGGCGCCTGAGCTCGTTAGCATCTGAACTCCCTTAATTTGAATACCCGGCCATAGAAATATTTTTGACAACGAAAAAGCTGATGAACTTGCAAGTCAGGAGCATTTCTTGACTAATCTGAAGGAGAATGAATACCACGACTGTTGGGAATGATCAGAAGAGGAGCACAGTCCTTTGGATAGTATGCAGGCAAAATGTCTCTGCCTTTTATCAGCCATTGTCACAGGATTACCACGGCTAAGTGCTATATTTCTTGTTGTTGTTATCGTAGTAACCGCAAAAATATTCACCAAACTGGTTTTCATTAAAAATTGCGGGAGTGACGGTCCTTGGCTGGCTAAAAATCAGAGTCGTTCCGATATAAAGACCCGACTGTTGCGAGTATTATTGAATTCTAGTCGGCTCTCACGACAGTCATGCCTGACCTCAGGTAAATTCTTGAACTCCTAACCCTCAAGGATCTCCTAAATTTCTTCGGGTTGCAGTTTTACTAACCTTACTACCAAACATTCCACCTCATAAAGTTAGAGAACAAAAATTATTATTCGATTATTCGAAACTTTGCAGTTAACTATTAAAATTATTTTTGGGGACTTAAAATAAAAAAATAAAAAATTAAAAAAATAAAAAATTAAAAAAAATATTAATTAATCGAATATTCAAAGTATTGAAACGTTTACAAATATTGAACGAAAGGATACCATTCGAAAAGTCACATTCACCAATCAGCTGCTCACAGGACAATTTATCGAAAAATCGAATATTTGAGTAATCGATTTATTCGTATTAATTCTGTACTAGAACCTAAAAGCGCACGAGAGATATTTGAGCGCCTGCAGTTTTTTCTTATTGAAAATTTGCAATAAATTAATAAAATATTTATTTATTTTATTATTATTATTATTAATTTTTAATTCCTTTTGTACTTACCCATAAAATTTGTCACTCATTGTGTAAATTCTCTTTTGTCTGTAAATAAATTTTTTTGTATTTTATTTAATTAATTTTCTTTTTTTTATTAATATTAGTGTATTTATTGAGGGCAACGAACAAATAAATATTCGACAAATATTTTCTTTTTTTTATTAATTATTGCTTAACATATATATGTATATATTTTTTTCATTCGAACGCAGGCTGACTTAATTCTAACCTAAATAAATATAATCTAAAAAATGACCTATTTTAATAATTAATTGCTGTGATTAAAAAACCAGCACATGAAATTTCGCACACAGAATTTCGAGTTTCAGGTCAGAGTAATAATTATTTGGCAAAGTTTTTGTTTGTAAATAGATAACAGCGGTTCATAGTAGTTGGGGGAAAAGTACAACACAATGTTATTTATTTTTTGCTTATAAGGGTGGCGCGAAAATTCTTGAAAAATATGTTTTTTCCTATATTTTGTTAAAATTCGTAACAATAAATTCAATATTTAAATTTGTAAGTCATTTTCAAAACTTTGTGAAATATAAAATTAATTTTGCTGAAAATTTTTATTATTGATTTATATTTTTTTTTTGAAATTTCTGAAAATTAAATCACTATTAATTAAGCTTTTAAAACATAAAAAATTCTCATAGTTTCTGAAGAATAAAAATAATTTTACTTTTAACCATTTTGTGAAATTTTATTTACTATAAACTGATGAACTATTTTAAACATAAAATTTTAATTTTATAAAAAACTCTAATATGTTAAAAAAAATTAAAATAATACTCGCCGCTTTTTTAATTCTTTTATATATTTTTTGAGTTACTGAAAATTTATTCACTGTAATTTAAACAAATTTGAGAAAAAAAATTATTTTATATAAAATTTTAATACATTTAAACAAATGAGTTTATTTTCTATTTTTTTTAATTTTATTTTTTGCGCTTTTGAAAATTTACTCACTGTAAATTAAATTAATTTTTTTTTATAAAAAATTCAAATTTTTTTTAAACATATAAAGTTAATTTGGTTGCAATTTCTAATATATTTTAAAAAATTAAATTCATTTCTATTTTTTTATATATTATATTTTTTGGGCTTTTGAAAATTTAATTAATGTAAATTAAATTGATTTTTTTTATAAAAAATTCAAATTTTTTTTTAAAATATAAAGTTAATTTGGTTGCAATTTCTAATATATTTTAAAAAATTTAATTCATTTCTATTTTTTTATACATTATATTTTTTGGGCTTTTGAAAATTTAATTACTGTAAATTAATGATTTTTTTTTATAAAAAATTCAAATTTTTTTTTTTAAATATAAAGTTGATTTGGTTGCAATTTTTTTAATTTCCTACATTTTTTTTAATATTTTGAAAATTTATGCGCTACAAAGAAACTTCTGAATTATAAAAAAAATTTAAATCTTTGAAAATAAAAATAATTTTGCTGTTTTTTTTTAACTATTCCAATATTTTTTTTTTTTTGAATTGCCGAAAAATTTATTTATTATAAATTGAACTACTTTATTTATAAACAATTCTAATAAATTTTGACGAAAATAAATTTAATTTTGTCGCCTTTTTTGTGATTTTCCAATTTTCTTTATTGAAACTTCTGAAAATTATTCACTTTAATTTGAATTATTTTAATTTTAAAAAAGATTAGTATCTTAGTGAAAAACAAAAATAATTTTCGCGCCAATTTTTCTTAATTTATATATGCATAATTCACAGGTTCAAATCCGTTAGCAAAACAAAGAGAGCGCTGCGCTCTCAAAAGCTGAAGAATGGTAAGCAAATGGCGTGCTGGAATAACTCATAACAGTTAACTTAATTCCCAAAAAAAAAAAAAAAATTGCAATAAAACTCTTTAAATACAGTGCATTTACTTAAAAGAAAAAAATTAATTTAAAACACACCTCAAATGTTGCGCGTAATTTTCTATTAAAGCTATTAATGTTATTTCTTTAAAATGTAGTCCCTCCTCTCTTTGCTGCTATTTGGTTTTTGAGCGGTTGGTCGATTTTAAAATAAATTTATATTTATTAATTATTATTTGTTTTTGATTGGTTGTTTATAAATTTGAACACTTGTAAACTTTTCGGCAATAAAAACTGAATTTTTATTAAATTAACGCTTTTTAATAAATTAATTTTACTTAATTTAACTTAGCACAATTTATTAAATTATTTTTATATATTAATTTTTTGGTTGTTTTCAATAATTTGCTTTAAAACACACATAGACTAGTAAATTTCTTTGCTTGCAAAGAATATACTAAATTTATATTAATTTTATTTAAATTCAACTAATTATTGAAATTCCCTTTCTACTATTTTTCTCGACATTTAAACGCTGAGAACTTAACGTTCAACCGGCCAGCTGAGCTTGATAGAACTAAAGTGTTAAATATTTTTCCAAAAAAAATAAAAAAAAAATGAATATATGTTTATGCATCCTGTTGATGGCAAGCAAAGCTCTGCATACGGTGAATACGAAGGGGTGTTGAAAAGGGATATAAAGAATTGCTCGAAAACAAAGCGGTAAGTGGAATAATTCCAGGATTATGATATTTTAGACATTTAAATTTGCTTAAAAATAATTAGAGTAATATAAAAATAAAAAAATTAAATTAAATATCAAATTTATTCCAAATTTGTTGAATCCGAATTACAAAACATTAAGCGCATAAAGCAAAATAAATAAAAAAAAATTAATATGAAATTTATTTCAAAAAATTTCGGCACATCGAAAAATAAAAAAACTAAAATTAAAACAATGGAATAAAAAATGAAGAAATAATTTTCAATAATAGATTTAATAGGAAGTTTTTGCTATTAATTTTTCTTTTAAAATTCTGCTGCGCTCCTAAAATACCTGCTTGTTTTGTAATAAAAATTAAAATAAACAAATAAAAAATTTATGCAAAATCAGCCAAGAAAAAAAAATGTATATACTACACTTAAGTTAGTTTATAATAATAATTAAATTTTTTTTGTAGCATCAGAATACTGTTAAAGGCTTTGGTTTTTGGGTCGCATAAAATATTTTACAATTATTTTTAAAAGTCTCAATGCAATAGGAACAAAAATACTATAATTATAATTTATCTTATAATATACAAAAATATAAAGATTTTTTTTTTAAATAATTCATTTATTAAATTTTTAATATAATTAAATTTTTTATAATACAATTTTTATCAATATTAAAATTTTAATTGAATAAAAATAAAATAAAGAACTTCAAGATTTTAATATAAAATTTAATAAAATATATGTATACTTATATAATACATATATATTTATAAAAAAACAAATTTTCAATGCAAGCACAAAGTCTCTTTGGCATACAGCCAGCATTAGTTTGAGTCCAGCTAAAAAATTGCCAAGCTTTGGGAAACCTGGACTGCGCAGGTGTTGGTCTCATAACCGGGAATGAAAAGCATCAGAGAAGTCAAACTTTGCATAGAGACAGCTCGACCATGAGGGTTGCCCTCTGGTTACCAGCAAGGAACCGTTCTAACCGCTTTCTTGTGGTCTTCCGATTGCTTTTACTTAAGTCTGATTTCGCATGCCTCCATTTTCTTCATCTGTTGAGATGCCGTCAACATGATCTTTTGTTGATCTTCCCGTGTATGCAGACTTTTGCCCCCATTATAAAGGTTCTTCCTCGCTCTATTGAGAGACTTCTTATGTGTAAATTTACGAGCTACTAGAGTTTTTCAGTAACGACTACCCGCTTAACGGTTCGATTTTCGTTACGCCACCAAAGTATGAGCACAAGCTCAAGTACACTGCGTTGTCTCGAGTATTTATAGTGTTAGAAAATCATTTAAAGCTTGAATGGTTCAAAAGCTTGACATTTTCAAAGAAAGTTTCGTGCGGCGGAGCAATAAACGTGTATCGATGCCCGAGTACTTAGAGCTCTAACCTTAATAGACGTCCGATTTTTCGACTTTTACAAAATTTATACTAAATTTCGTTCGAAGAACTTCGGCCCAAACCTGTCATTTGTTACTATTTAGCACCGATTTCTTTATGGTGGGCTATCTTATGATTATATTATTGTAATTTCTTTGTTAACTACTTACAAGTAAATATATAAATGTATGCATATGCAAATAATTAAAATACATTTTTACATATGCATCAATTTACACAAGCATATAAACATTTGTATGTATGTACATATGTTTTATCAATAATATGCCTAGTTATACATAGCATGTATGTATGTACTTACATACATATGTGATACAAAGAGGAGCAAAAAGATGAGCGCAATAAATAAGGGTAACTTACCCGTACATATATACATACATATACATACATGTATTGTATATAATAGCTGTCAACCATCACCATCTCCATCATGCGCCAGATAGTGTCCACTCTCGCTCTCTAGTCGAGAAATTCACAATATTGTGACATGCATACATATTAACATGATATATGCAATGAGTATGTACATATGTACATATATATATACATACATATATGTATTTAACCATTTGCGTATGTACTTAGATCAGCTATGTCGTCAGTGTTATTATGTTTAAACAAAATGCTGGAACGTTTTTTAGTTGCTTCAGTGAAATCGGTCAAGGAATTGTGCTTCGCTGAGTGATGGAGAGTCCGCAAGACAGCCGCAATTCAAATTAAGAGCCAACACGGCGCCAAAAAAAAAAATTAAATAATATAAAAAATACGATTTTTTTTTTAGTGAAAGAACACAAAAGTAATAAATATTAAATAATAAACAATTAAAAAAATTTATTAAAATAAGATAGCAAAGGAAAACACAAAAAAAATATTAAAAAATAGAGCAACATAAATTTATGCTGATTGCGAGGATTTTTTGTGAAAAGAGTACACGGCAATCAAGCGAAACAATGAAATAATAAAAATTTTAAAAATTTTATTAAAAGTTGTTAGCTAAAAAATTCAAACATTACGTCCTCTTTCGGCAAAATATATTCAATTCGTTGAGCTTGACCTTTATCACACGGTTTAGCTGCGTCCTAAATCAGTTTGCTCCACGAACAAATCAGCAGATTTTTATGCTCTCTTTGCCAGCAACAGACACCCGCACCAATGGCTTAATTAACTTATAAAAGTATTTATATATATATATATATATATAGTTGAGTACCTAGGTGTACATATGTATGTAAATACTTTATACACGCACAGTGCAGTAATTAAGTTCCCAAACCGAATTATGGCACGTTTTATGTGCCTTCGTTCTTAATATTTTGTTGGATAATGACTTTCATGAAGTGTAGCACTATTGTGAATTTCCCTCATATGTGTTGTTCACAATGGAATATTTCTAACAACTGATATGGTACGTTTACGAGCTGAGAAAATGAATTCAAAAAAGACAAAGTAAAATCTCATATATATTTTTTTAAAAATTTATACCAATAAAATAAAATTGAACAAGTAAGGAAGACTAAGTTCGGGTGGAACTGAATCTTAAGCGCTCTGCTGATATTTATATTGAACGCCAGCTCGATTGTAATTTACCGTGCAGCTGCAGAGCAAGAAAGTTGAGAGGAATTAACAGTGCTTTTGGTGGAGTCGATGGCAGCGCTTATAAGATAGTTGCCTTTGGTTGAACTCTGGCAGACCATTTTTCGCATTTGACTTCCGTAGAGGTAGAGAGAGTGAGCTAAGCGCCCTTTAGTAGACGTGGTTTAAGAGGAGGCGGTTTATATCTACCCGTAAAAAGGATTATTGCAGAGTTTTTGCGTTGACAACCAGCCAGCTTTTATTGCATCAGTTTCCTACAACGTTTTGCGCAGATGGCTTAGAGTTTGTTCACATTTATGTTTGGAAAAAATTTTTCAATCATTGGCATTCGAACTTTTATTCACCGAGACTCTTAAACTTGGTGTAGGCTAATTTCCTTTTTAATCATAAAAGTTTTCTTTTTAAATTTTTTCCGCATGATTTTTTTTTTGTTTTTTTTTTGTTTTTTTTTTTTTAATTATGAAATTGTTAAAACCTTTCATTTTTTCTAATATCATTCATAGCAGAAAATCTTTGAAAATCTTTTTTTCATTTTAAGAGCAATGCATTTACGCTAAGGAAGTTTTCCATCTTGAGTAGAGAGAATAGCACAAATATTCCCTGTGGGTTGGTAACTTATTCGTTGCACTGTATGCTTTATTAATCCCACTTCCAACCCACACCTTTTCCGCGAACGACTGCTGTCGAGCCGCAGTTTTTATTTTTTATTTTTGAAAGTTTGTTTACACGTCTTTTGCTTTCTCTCTCTCTCTCGCTCTCTCTCGCTCTCTCTGTCGCTGGATTTCTATTAACCTCTATGTGTACTTCGTTTAACCTTTGTGTGCACTAAAAAAAAAAAAACTCAAATTAAATCAAATTGTGACTATAAATAATTTGTTGCTGTTTCGCCGCATTTTAAAGGAAGTGAATTGCATACGTCGGTCGAGTCTGACGCCTTATCAATTTGTGAAAAAAAGAGATTTATAGAAAAAAACTTATACTTAATTATAGCGCTTATATAAAGCAATTATGTTTCTTTTTATTTTTTTCTATTTATTTCTATTTGTTTTATTTTTATTTTAATTTTTGTTGTTTTTGTTTCCAAAGCAAACTTAACTTTTCCCGTAATCTATTAAAATTCATACTACATATATATTTATGCTTTTGTATGTGTGTATGTACTGTAAGTACATTTGTTGGAATTGGAATTTAGCATATATATATACATATATAAATATGTATATTTTTTTTTTTTTGTTAATTTGAAATCATGAATTACAAGTACGTTTATTTATTGCCCATAACGCCACCACTAAACACATGAACACATGCATGCACACATATACGCGGTACATATAATACATACGAGTACATATATATAATATGTGCTAGTGTCTTCGAGTTGTCGAAAATCGGTTCTATGCCGTCAGAATATATATTTTGCTTTTGTTTTTGTTTACCCCAAAGGTGTCAGCGTATAGCTGTCAATGCCTAGTTCACAGACACGAACACACACATACATATCTACACACATAAATTCATAGATGTACGTGTATGTATAAATATAATCTACTGATCGGGGTTTAAACCGAAAAAAAGAAGAAGCAAATCGTTCGGTTCGTCTCACACACGCGCTTGAATTCTCGCTGCTTCTTTAACCAGAAAAAGAAATTCTACAAAAATTCAAATAAAAAAAAAAAACGAAAAATTTAAATCGGTATCAAAATCGTACAATCGAGACAGCGCACTTTTTGTGCTTCGTGCATTTCTTTCGGGGATCTGTTGGCAGTATAAAATTGTGCTGTACAGACAGACAGGAAGCATTCTATGCTGTACAATCAATAAGTAGAGCTCTGACTCTCCAGTGCTACTTCAAAATAAACAAACGGAAAAAACAGGAATTAGTGATGCGTGAAAAAAATAGTGAAAGTGAAGTAAAAAAAAATTTTTTTTTAAATATAAATTTTGAAAATAAAAAAATCATTCTAACAAAAAACTGCTGCTTTTTTGTTGAAAACAAAAAAAAGGATTTGAGTGAAGTGAAAATCATTAATAAATTTCATGTGCAATTATTTGTGCGAAAAATATAAAAATCTAACTTACAACAAAAAACAACGTACTGAACATCATTGGAGCAAACAGCAAATTAGAAACAAAGTAAGACCTACATACATATATACGCTAATGAAAACTAAACAAATGCTCCACAAAAGGATATTTTAACTGTATGAATTTTTATAAATAAACGTTAAACTTCAATAATTTGTGCTACTTGAGAGATACGTAAAACTGCATTGCAATTAAAATAAAACAGTGTTGATTTGAAGCTGCAAAATGTTTATAACTCTCTCACGTAAGTAACTATTGAAATAATTAAATTATTTGTTAAGTAAATTTAGTAATTACTACAATAATAAGAATTTTGTGGTATAATTTTCTCTAATAACTAAAAAATTTTATTAAAAAAAAATATTTAAAAATTTATCTGTCTCGAAAACCAAATTTTTTCAGTACTTTTACATATTTTCACGATATTTGCTCTCGTTTTTTAAACCTGAAAATTTGGCCTTCGCATCCATTTTGTGTCTTAAGTGGAATCGATAATTTTTTAATTAAGCGTAGAAAATATTACTTCCAGACGCTTCTTAAGCCGAGAAAATTACAACTAACCTTTGTTATCAGCAGTTCATAAATAAAACTATTTATTTTTTCTGGCATTTTGTATGTTTTAATCTTGTTTTTTATTTTATTTATTTACTTTTTTTTTAATTTTTGCTTTTATTTTATTTATTACTGTTTTTTTTTTTTAATTTTTGTTTTTATTTTATTTATTTCTGTTTTTTTTATTAATTTTTTAATCTATTGGTTATTTTTATATTTTTGGTAAATTTTCCAAGTTTTTTAAGTTACATTTTTTAAAATTCATTTTAGTCTTTAATTTATAATTATTTTTTTGTTTATTTAACTTTTGTTGGCTCAATTTTCAACCTTCTACTTTTGAGTTAATTTTTTTGTGCCTTTGTTTTTTTTTTCATAAAATTTTTTGTTAAAATTATGTATTATTTTTTCTTTCAATATCTTGTCTTTTTTTGTTTTTTTTTTTGTATNTTTTTTTTTTTTTTTTTTTTTTTTTTTTTTTTTTTTTTTTTTTTTTTTGTCGTTTAATTATAACTATTGTTTTTCTTTCAATTTTAATTTTTTTTTTAAATTTTTTGGTTAGGTTTTTTATTTCATTTTTTTCTTAATATTTATTATTTTTTTTTTTTTTGGTTTCCATTTTGTCTTTTCATTTTTTTTTCGTATTTAAATTTTTATTCTGTTTCAGTTTTTTTTGGTTTTATTTTCTTAATTTCATTTTTTTTTAATTTTTTTTATATATATTTATTTATTTATTATTTTTTTTTTTTGGATTAAATTTATTTCTATTTTTTCAAAGCATTTAATTTGTTAAACTTTTGCCTTCAGAACTGCTTAAGTTTTAAAATGAATTTGGTGGTGGTCTTGCGATTTTCTTATTTTTGGTTAGCAGTCGGCTGTATTAGCCAGAGCAAACCCCTACATACGAGTAAATACATACATACGTGTATGTACAACATACAGGCATTCAGTCAATAACGAATGCTAGTAGGTTACGTATACGCAGAGCTGTGCTAAAAGTAGCTAAAAATCAGTATGCCATTTTTGCGTTGAATATTTATATATTCAATATATTTATATTATATATATTTTTTTTTAAATATATTTTCATTAAGTAGTTCATTTAGCTTCATTAATTAATTAAAATGCCTTTTATTAATTTTTTTATTTATTTTTTCCCCAATTTATTTTTTCTTTATTTTATTAGAATTTTTTTTTGTTTTATCAATTTTTTGTTTTTTATTTTATTTTATATTTTTATTTAATTCTTTTACTTTATTTTGTTCTCTTGTTTTATTTTATTATATTTTATTGATTTTAAATTATGTTGGTTGTATTTTATTTGGTTTTCTTTTATTATTTTATTTTGCTCTTTTTTAAGTTATTTTTAGTTAATTTTATTTTACTTTGTTTTAGTTTACTTTACACTTTAATTTACTTAAATTTAGTTCATTTTACGTAGAAAAAGCTAAAGAAATTTACAAATAATGTTTCCTCCAAACATACATACTAAACAAAACGCAGCCACAGTCATAAATAAGTAAACAAATTTCGAGTATCAGCCACCTAAGATCAAATTCCAAAAAATATTTAAATTCAAGAAAAACTAAACGCACACCTCAGAAAGTCACTCGAAATGTCATAGCTGATGAAGCATTAGTGAAAGTTTCGATAAATAATGTGCATACATATTTACAAAACAAACAATTAGGATAGCTGAAACGCCAGCCAACGTGGAAAAGGCACAACCAAAATTAATTGAAATTATAAAATAGTTAATCGACATGGCGTACGTGATTAAAACAATGAGCCATGCTGCTACAAAGTACGATGCGACTATGTATGTACATAAGTAACATATGTATGTGTATACACACGCCGCAAATGAAACTAATAATCTATAAAACAATTTGGAGATTACCAAAAATACCCAAACATCGAATTTGTAGCGTAAAAACAAATAAAGACGTCTTTATATTTGATTAAAGGACAACCTTTGTTAATGAGATTATTTAAATTATTATCATTTACTTAATTGACTGATTGCAACCTTGTTTCCTTTGCTATAATAAAAAAATTTAATAAAATCGAATATAAAAAAAATAAAAATTAATAATAAAATAAACTTAAAAGAAAAAACAATATAAAAATAAAATGTATCAAAATAAAAGAAATTAAAAATAATATAAAACCATGCCTCTTCTATCAATATGCCTCGGTTAATTGCTTGTTAACGCGCTTGTGCTAGAAATCCACGCCACGCTTGTACGCTTTCATTTACGCTTTGTTGTCAATCCGATGTGATAATGTGACAATTGTTGTTGAGTGCTGATTTAATATTAGCAATTTCTTATTAATAAGTATAATAATTTATTGTTTTTTATTTTTATTTTTTTACTTTTTTTTTTTTATGTGTGCGTACGTAATTTTCGGTTGGTTAGCCGAGCCGCTAACACGTGATGGGCGGCAGGCTTAATATTAAAAAACAAGACTAGAAATTATATACATAAATATATAGTTAATAATAACTAGAAAAACTGACGAAATTTTAAATATAACTAAATTATCGCCTAGTGCAAGGAAATAAGAAATGCTCGCAATAATTTATAAGAAATGAACTCTAATGTTATCAATAAACGTTTAATGTAATAATTATTGATTTATTGTGCTTAATTTCTTTTTTTTCCTAAGGGAAGGAAATGCGTTTGTATTTATGCAGCTCACATAGTTAATAGCGCGTGTAAATATTAATTTTTTATTATTTATTTATTATTTATTCCACTTATGAATAATACGACATCCTAACGAGTCCAAAGTGTTAGAGAAAAGTCCATGTGTATGTATGTATGTATGCAAGAAATGTGCAGAATGACGCTAGAATTGAGTCCATGAGTTTGCTTCAGCTGCCGATTGCAAATATTTGTAAACAAATTGTGTCACAGCTGGCAAAGTTGTTTATTTAACTATAACGGATATTAATATTATTATAATTATAATTATTTTTAATATTATTATTATTATTATTATTATTATTATTATTATTATTATTATTATTATTATTATTTTTATTATTATTTTTATTATTATTATAATTATTATTATCATTATTATTGTTATTATTATTAGTATTATTATTATTTTAATTTTCCATTATTATTATTATTATTTTTTTATTATTCTTAGTTTTTAATTATTTTTGTTATTATTATTATTATTATTATTATTAGTATTATTTTTATTTTTATTTTTACTCTTATTATTATTTTTTTATTTTTATTTTTATTATTATTATTTATTTTTGCCTTTTTATCCCCTCGAAAATCAATTTTTATTTATTTTTTTTTATTTCCGAATTGCTTTTCCTAGCATAATTCGCATGAATTAAAACTTCTAACATCGATAATTTATTTATCGATTTTTCAACAACGCAGGTTGCTATGGCACAGAAAATCCGCTATGTCGATCAAGCGTGGAATCCACTTGTTTCGTCATACATTGTGAGCTTATTACTTTATTTTTAGTGAATTAAATTAGAATCAGTTTTTTCATTTAATTTTTTTCGCAGAATTTTTTATATAATTCTAGTCCGAAATTATATAATTTGTGCACAGCAGGGAGCTTCATCTTGGAGTTGCTCGTTTTGTTCGATACTGACAACTAAATTAAAAAAAAATCGATAACTCATGGAGCGAAAATAATTTGCATTCAAACTCAACTCACCTCATACTTAGATATCGATATGCGTCGGAAGAATCGTCACAAAAATCCATCTTACAAGCGGCCTCTGCGTATGCACAAGCCAATAATAGCTTGAAAGCATGAGAGTGTAGATAAGCAAATCAGAATCTTCGATCTATCAGTTTAAAAGTGTAGTGAACTTCACCGAATTTCTCCGTATGTTGGTGGCCTGACTTTTTGATATTCCTTGATGTTTCTTTAGTTGCTTAATGTCTAATAGAATGAAATAGAGAGTAACTACGAATGCATTTTCATTCTCCTACCTTATAATAAGACAGCTAGTCTAGTAAAGTTTCTTTTTTTCGCCGCAAAATATAGTTTTCGCCTTCTGCTTTGTGAAGCATCCCTTTGAGGTTAGTTACAAGGCTTGAGCAGTATTTTCACCCCTACGAGGCGCTGTTCAGGTCTTTTTATTTATAAAATAATTATTTGAAATACATTTTTTAAACTTTCAAATGTCCTTTAGCTACAAGCTTGCATTTATATTTATAAAATTATGGAATCTTTTACATTACATACCTACATATATTCAATGCCAACGAACTATGCACTTAATATTACATATTTTGTATTACATTTTATTGTTTACTGTGGCTGTTACGAAACGACAAATAGCAAATAATCCAATGGGGAGCAGCGCACTCAGACTCACGACAGATTCTCGAGCTTATCAAGCCTTTCAGCGAGTGAATTTTACAAAAAAAAAAAGAACACACAGTTCAAAACAGTTCAAATTGCAATTTATTTTTTTTTAGTTAGTGGTGGCGTAAAAATAAAATTTACTTAGTTATATGTATGAAACAAAAAAATAAAAAAAATTATAGTTTTCAAAAAGAAAATTCTGTTTAAAAATTATTAAGCAGCGCATTATGGGGAAAATAAGTAGTAAGTGCGCTATTTTTAATTTAATTAGACAATTTAACATTTAATTAGTAAACTATTTGACGGTCAAAGACAAAACTAATCAGTTTAGAAATAATTATAACGAAAACATATGTATATGCATGCATAACACCGGTAAAAAACACGTGTTTTTACGGTTGTTTTCCCATAAACTGTGCACATAAAAATCAAAATCAATAGTTAATAATAAGTACATAAACATTAAAATGTTCAAAATATATACTTAACTACATTAGTCACGTGGCAGTAGCCGCTACATTATCAGCGAAGACTTTCTTAATTATTATATATTTTTATTTACACAATTAAATTAATCTTTAATTATTGATTAAAATTTTAATTGTGATTCAAGCGCATTATTACGTCTGAGAAGCTGCAGTGAGCCATAAAAGTGTTGTTGTTATTTCATTACAAAAATCTAAAGTTAAAATATGTATTTTACTTATAATCATTTTTTAAAAATCTGAAAAATCGTATTTCGCCTTAGGAGTAACTTTATTTTCCAGTCTAAAGCAACTTGCGCTATAATCATGCCTACCTTAATGTTTATCGGAAATTTATCGAAAACATCATCAGCTGTCAAATAAAAACAAAACTAACTGAAACTGGTCTGTTCATTTGAGCAAATAATTGAAACTCACCGAAATTGTACATTATTGACAATTAAACTGAAGTTTCAAATAAATATTTTGTGAAGTTTAAGCTACTGAAAGCCTACAGGCACAGTTCAGTAAACGTAGCAGGCAAAGTAGACAATGCGCTGCATCGTGCGCCGGTCAGCGGCACTTACAACATCTACATGATCGAATCAAATTCAGCCGTTGAAGTGTTTGACGGAATCTGATGCGATGAGCAAAATCTAGCTTCTGGAATTCTACTATATTTTTCAAGTGGATTGCTTCGCGGTAAAGACGTTTTACCTCAGAAAATAATCTTACAACCAACCACTGGTTAATATAACTTCAGTGAAGCAACTGCATAAACACTGGTTTGAAGGTCACAAGGGCTTTGTGAGTTACAAATCGGCTAGTGATCAGTACAGTAGACTACAATTGAAAGACACTAGGAACTCTTTAAAATGCGTGGTGTAAAAGAAACATTGAAACACCGCCTCTGTTTCTGTGTGGTCTTACCTAGCACACGTGTGAAATAACTAGTAGTTTCTCGGCTCAACGTACTAGGAGAAAGTTCGAAGTTCAATAGAGTCTCTATTTCGCAGTACAAAGAACCAAAATGCCTATGAGGCGTTGCAGTCAATTCGTGTAACCTAACCTAAAAATGTAATACCTCGAACTTGATGAATAAAATAAGTTTTTATACAAGAAACAGGCAAAATCGTGGTAAAACATTGTTTTGTGAATGCGTTTCAAAGAATGCTGAATGTAAATATTTATACCATTTGTAGTGCCAAAGGCAGACGTGCATATTGTCTACTTAATAATCACCAAACGATAAGTAATCGACTATCAACCGACCATAACGCGCCTCCTACAAAACAGTTCATAATGTTATCAGAAGTCTACAAATAATAATGAACCAAACACCAGTCAATCAGTTTGTTTTGGCAAGTATATTTGACAGCTGTCAAAATATAGCAAATGCTATTTTCAGCATTGTGAAATTAATGAGGTTTATGTAAGCCTATATTCAACTGATTGTGCGCTTACTAAAGTTTACTCAAAAATGATAAAAAAAGAAGTCTTTCTTTCGAAAAATTAAATTTCCATTCACAATTCTGCAATTCATTGTGCGCCCTTTGAAGCTTTTAAAACTTTCAAACTTTGTACTTGTCATGTAGAGGAAAGTTTTCCTTATTCATTGCGCTGACCTTACTAAAAAGTAGAGAGAAGTGACAATGAAAAAAAAAGCACAAAACACTACAAAATAAGCAATTTATTTACTTTAATATAAAATAAAAAAAAAAACAGGAAGAGAATGATTGCCATAAAAGCAGCACTTCAAAAAGTGTTACAAGGACATTTATATAATTGAGAACATTGCGCACTGAAAACAATGTAAGAAGAAGAGCCGCTGTCACTTAATCTATGCAGTTGTTGGTTATTAAAGAAAAACAACGCACGTCATAAGAAATTGAGTTTTTTTGTTTTAATTAAAAATAATATAAAGAAAATAATTTAACACAAATGTACGCATGTATGCATGTGTGTAGCAGTGATAAGAACTTAATATACACCAAAAAGTAATAAAAAAAAGCCCTTTTTCTTACTTACTTGCGCATACAAATACATATACATATAAATCTGTTTATTAACTAAAAATATGCATATACTCATACATATTTACACTGACACAGATAAGTATGGCGGAAACTTCTTCAAGGTTCATTTATATGGAATATAAAATCTAGAGGTCGCTTGATTTCATAAATCACGCTTGAAGAATTTCCATTTATGTAATTGCAAGGTAAAAGTCAGTGTTACAAGTGAAGTGATTACAAAGGCAAAGGCAACAAGCAAAAAAGTTAAGAGAAGTAGGAAATAATTTTAACGCAACGAAATTTATTGTTTCTGACATGCTCTGGGTTGCCTGGGATTTAGCCAAAAAAAAAGTAAAGTGTGCTTTTAAGACTTGCGTCAGCAATAACTCACCTAATATTCCCTTCCAAGGCTTCAATCGTCTCGGGCTGCTCTGCATAGATAAGCGACTTCCCATAATTCCACAGAAAATAGTTTAGCAGTGTTAAATTGCGCGAACTTGGAGCCACACGACGGGTGATAATGCGCTTACCAAAAGTTCCCTTCAATAAATTGATTTTTTTTCAGTAGATGTATGTCATATAGCGCTGTCCTGTTCGAACCAAAGGTCAACCACCAATGCAGGAACGAAATATTCGCCATTAATCAACGCCCTATAGCGTTCTTTGATCGAGTGCGATATTGGATGAGTGCATAAGTTCGTGCCCGTTTTCAAGTGCAAACTAAAATTGAAATTGAAAATTGAAATATAATGGCTGGCTACATGTGGAGCAGAACCACACCAAACAGTGACTTTTTGAGCATGTGCAAGCGTCTAAACTATGGCTTGTGGAAATTTTGTTTATTATGGTACCCATTCAACCAAAGGTGAGCTTTATTTTTGTACACAAACTCCTTGTGAACACCGGAATCGGCGGGCATCCCGTTTTAGGCTTCATTTACGTCTGTCTAAAAGACCAAAAACTTCTAAAAAAACACCTTAAAATTTATTAATAAAAGCATGAAAATACTATAAATAGCACCAAGTTTCTAACTGTATATAAATTTTTTTGCCGAAAATCTATTGACCTTTAGTGAACTTTCACTCAATATTTTCTTTAAAATATAGCAAAAAATAGAATGACACACTTCTTTAACCACCACTCACACATACATATGCGTAGAAATAAAAAATAAGTAAATAAATATATAAACAAATAATTAGATATGCTAATTGTAAATCTATTTATTTAGAACTACTCGTAATTAGAAATTATTTATTCATGAAGATTTCGCAAGCAAAGGTTTCTTTCTTTTGTATGTAAATTCACTAAAATAGAATTTTTTAAATGCGCAGTAACTGAAAGTGTGCTTATTTTTTAATATTCGATTAGGTAACCAAAAAAAAAACAAATAGAGCACGTTTTTCCTTGTAGGAACGGTCAATTCCGATTAAAAGTTACGAGTTGTGGCCGATATGGGTATATCGATAAACTTTCGCTTCTTACATCGGTGGTCCAACACATTTTTCTTTGGTTAAATAATATCTCTATTGTGAATGAAACGGTTGCATATATACACTAGACATTATGGGCAACGAAATATCTGGCGAGATTGCCAAAACTGACATCTGTAATGTCGGGGAACCAGCAGAGGATATACGAAAATCACTAAAAATTATCTATAAGGAATTTTCTGAAAAAACTGGGTGCCTTGCTAAAAAATCACTATTTTTCCTACGTCTAATTTTCGCTTGCCGTTTTTTATTTAAAATCTGCGTTTGAGTTTAAATTTTTCCCTGTCTTGTTTGACAACTCTGGTTCGAACCATTCGCAAATTTAAACTATTTATTTATTGAAATATTGGAAATCTGTAAAACAAAATTTGCCAGAGGCGAGAGCGGTAAGAGAGGAAATATACCATTTTAAAATGTTATTGATATACTCACTTCTGATGAATTTAGCTGGCAAACCTCTTAGTCCTAGTCCATGTTTTCAATTGGTTACCTCCGTAGGGAGTCTCACCTAGACGACGCTACGTCTACAATGTTATCAGATGCCCTTCAAAAAACTATTATGTGCGACTACACTTTGTGTCTGCAGAACGCTCATGCGACGCTAACAGGCAGTGCCCTGTTAACAACCCTACTGGCAGCATAGTAGAAACCTAATAACCATTCTTTCATCCAGTGCAAGATATAGAGATTAAAGTTTCATTAGGAAAGAAAATGGCGCAAAAATGGAAAATCGAATTGCCAAACTAAAATTGACGGCATGCGAGAAATATCCTCGCTGTGTTCTCATTAAAAATTTTTGAAAAAGAAAATATTTATTTTGAATTCTGTACAAATACGGTATCATTTTAGGCTCAAATTTGCAGCATATATTTTGTAATGATTAAGAAAAGCGTGCAATGCATTAACGATACACGGCGCAGTGATACTTTCGAGTTCGGTACAATTTAGGTACAATTTCGGTACAAATTCGGTAAATTTTTTTTTACAGTACAGTAATAGGCGGCAAATATACCTTTTGATTTGAGTATTGTAAATGTGCCATATATCGGTATGGATTCGGTACAT